TTTTTCCCTCTGGACAAGAAACTTTTTTTACTCAAACAAGTGAATGCCCGATTTACTTGTCTGAAGGACAAGCGCACGACAAGGCTTAATGTCAAGCCCTGAATATAAGATTAACACGTCATACAGTATCAACTCATTATCGTACACACATTCTGGTAGGCTAATTGTAACTAGTAGCTAAATGCTAAACCCTTATTTGTGGGATTAACTTATATTTTATAAAAACTAAAAATACAGCCATTTTATGTTACTTTGTTGAGGAAATAATGTAAATAACAGCATTGTTGTGTAAAGCTATTGTTATTTTAATCCTATTTGTTAAAATTACTGTATATGTCTACTCATAAGTGACATTTTGTATAAATTGTATATATTTCATTTCACATTAAAGTAATATTGAAACTTAAACTGTGTAATATAAAAAATAAAAACCTACTTCCTGAAACCTAGAAATGTTAGTTTTTTTAGTTGGATGAAATTTAAATATAGTTGTTTATAGACCGATTGTTGACCATGTTGACACTTAAGTCAAGATCATCCATCTTCAGAAACGTCTCTTAACGAGAAAAAAATGTATGTGTATGTCATTGGCTTTTAAAAATCAGCCAGGATTGTAATTAAATTGTCTTGTAAGATTAGTAAGAAGAATTTAGTTACGATTTTCTGCAAAAATATTACGTAAATTTACGAGTAAAACGCATAATCTTTGCCTTTTGGAAATGTAACTTAGTAAGAGTATAAGTATTCCGTTTCAGTATTCCTCTGGTGAAGTACAAATGACCCTAAATAAATGAAGTATAATTACTCATATACTTTACACCCCTGCCCTACTTTAAATGTCTGTTTTTAGGCATCCCATAGCTCATAGAAGCCTCCGCTGCAAGTGCAAGTGATTCATGTCGGGTCAGTTGTGAGAGCTGTGATTTAAGAAAAAAGAACAACACAGGGGTCCTGGTGTCGGATGAGCTGGGTGATGCTTAGAGGAAGAAATAGAGGCGTTATTGATCTGTTAGTCACAAACCATCTATCTTCTCTCCCCCTTCCACCACCTCTTCCCATCTGAGCTGTTGAGAGAGTGACGGAGGAAGAGCAGAAAGTGCCACTCCAGCAGAAAAAAAAAGCTATTAATCACAGTGTGAACCCATTGGCTCCTCTCACATTATACATTCTATTGGACAATGCCAAACTTGCTAACTGGGCTAGTCAAAAGCAGTTTGAGTCAAGTTTCAAGATACATTTATTTCAGTTCTATCTAAAATTACAATTCTCCAGTCTTCCAGAGGACGTGGCTAAGTGTAATACGTTTTGAGGGAGTCTTGCAGAGGATAGTATTTTCCTTCATGTTTTGAGGAAAAGATATTCAAATAATTCTTATAAATTAGGTTTGACATGATTTTGTATACTGCAATCAGAAACTATTAAGTAACAATCAAGTAAAAAGAAAAGACTGCTCATTTTACATCTTATAAATTGTATGCCTTCAAATTCAATTGTTCACCCTTGAACAAGATACATAACCTGCATTAACTGTGACCATCCACAACAGAAAATAGTTAGTTAGTTAAAGTAATGTTAATTTCTTTGCACATTTACATTTTCTCTCTCTTCTTTTAAAGTCGGCATGAAATCAAAATTGACACCGTTTACTTGAATGCAAATTACAATTGAACAATTAACCCGTGCAAGTTAATACACAGAAAAGAAATCTGAAAATTTGCTTCCATGCTGGAATGGCGTTTCCAGTCTGATGACGTCAGTTTGACGGCTTGGGTTGAATATCCTTAACCACTCCTCTCCAACCGTCAGTCTGCTATGAGCGAGGGATGGAGAGGAGGTGCGCTAAAATAAAACCCCGCCCACTATTCAATATTCCGTTTCACTTTGAAATAAATCACAACACTGAAATTGAAGTCGTTTGCAACTTCTAGTTCACGAGGACTTTAATAAACACAAAATATATTTAGCTGTGGTACACAAATCTTGACAGAATGTCTACTATAGAGTGAGTACCTGCTCAGTGTTGACCCTGAAAAGTCCTTGATTCGTGAGCCGTATGCAGTTACATAATATTGCATAATACCATCATTGCTATGAAGGGTTCTGCTTTTGGGGCCACATGAGTTTTATTTAAAGAGCACCTATTTTGCTTTTTTATTTTACCTTTCCTTTATTGTAGGGATGGGGCCGATCCGATCCAGTATCGGTATCGGGACCGATACCAGCGTAATTCACGTATCGGATTTTCCCGATCCAACCTGTGGAGATATCCGATATCCATGAGCCATGTCTGCGCTTTAACGTTGTCTGCTGAAATGACTCCAAAAGTGATTCCCGCCGGCTAGTCTGCTAGCTGGCTGCAAACTGCGGAATGGATTTCTTGAACGGAGGCGCGGCTCAATGAGACACAGAGTTATGAGGCACGCCTCCGCTCAGGAAATCCATTCCGCAGTTTGCAGCCAGCTAGCAGGAAAGCATTTAGCAGCATTATGTCCGCTGTGTGGAAATACTCGCGTCGGTCAACACACAACGAACTCAGTCAAACATTTAAAAAAGCACCAGGTTAAAGAGCACAAGGATTTTTAGCCAGGGAGCAGAAAGACAACGGGAGCCGTTTTATTGATAGATAGTGTGTGTGTTAAGGCCCTTGCACACGGAGTCCGAAATTTTCGCACGTTAAAAAATAAATACGACCTCACGTTATGTCAATCACGCTTACACACTGCCTCCGAAACTTTCGTCCGTCATAAAAAAATTGAATCGTGTTCCGTAGCAAGCAGTTTGAGAGGTGTTTTGACAATTCAGAGCCACCGAATCACGAATACGAAAAAACTCAGTGTGCAAGGATGTTCACTTTTCTTATATTTCTATTGTGTAATATAGCTTTTTGTGCATGTAAACGATCTGCAAAGTTACAAAGCATAAAATCCACGCTTTGTAGTCCTGCTCTTATTTCCGTGACTTAGCTACGTCACCATGTTTCACATTTGCTGCTTTGGCCCACCCTTGAAGAACAGTTCTTGACTAAGTGGTTTTGCTATGCTGAGGTGATGCTGTTTATTTTTCCTTTCTCACTTGTATGGACTTCCAAAACCGACGCCATAGTTACGATAGATATAATACTTTTACTCCTGCTCGTGAAGCCTCGGAAGCTGAAACATGGTCATGGCAATAGCCGTTACATGTCAAAAATGTGTTCAAAGCAGTTGACCAGTCACAACAGACTGGGCCAGCTTACCAATCTGTAGAGACTGGGCATTTTGGAAAGTCGGGCTGACATGAACTAAAACAGAGTGTTTCAGGCAGAGGGTGAAAAGAGGTGCTGCATCAGTGTATAGTATGTGAAAAATAATGAGTTTTTTAACTTTGAATCATGTAAATATATTCTAGCACACACCAAAAATAAAATTATGTTGTAAATAAGTGTAATATAGGCTCTCTAATTCTGAGCTGTGGTGTCAAGAAATGACTTCCAACCATTAATTTATTTAATTGTTTGTCAGATGTAGGGTGCAGGTGTGTTTCTGTGTGTGAGAGCATGATGGAGAACTCTCTGCAGAGCAGAGTACCCAGAACTTCAGATAAGCCCTGGCCCACTTTTGGGTCAATACTGAAAAAAACTGAGACTGCAGTAAGGCAGAATCTGCTTCTGAAACGGCATCTGGCTCTCATTTCATAATTATTGTTCTGTTTACAACCTTTCACATGATGAGTGTCTTAATATTTGCTTTAGTTAACAAAGTACATTGAACCAGAAGCATATCCTGCTTGAGTAAATTGCATATTGACATAGACAATACATCTATTTTATTGTCTTTTAACAGGTTGAAATGTTGAAATGATATCATTCAAACCATTCAAACGGGAAATATCTGACTGAGCTTGCTTTCGTTTGTATTTACTTTGAGGCATGTGCTCATGGGCACTAACACATGAGGAACACAAATGGCAAATCCATGTGGTGAGGACACAGCTGGGCTCCAATCCCTTTAGCTTATCATAGTGTGTGTGTGTGTGTGTGTGTTTACATTTACTGCTGAGCCTTCTGTCAAGATGTGTTAGAGAAGACTGCATAGGCTTGGCTTGTACAGTGTGCTTTGTTTTGACTGTATAGTTTGCTGTAAGAAATATATGAATGGTACTGCCAAACACAAAACAGTTTTGGAATAAAAATGATATTTTAAGGGAATTATGCACCAAAATTTTGGCAAATATTTTTTTGAGAAAAAGTTTTGAGCAAAATAGTTTTGTATGGCTGCAGTCATTGACTGAAACAGTGATGTTCAATTAGCACTTATCTGACAAAACAGTGAATATTTTGTGCACACAACATGTATAAGCTACAACAGATAAACATGTCAGCAGTGTGGACTCACTTCAACCATTACCAAAAATTATGCTAGAGTAGCAATTTGTAAAATTACATTCGGCTAAAATTTTGTGAGAAAGCTTTTTTCTGAAGAACTTCACTATGACTTTCTGTTGGGGCATGTGTTTCATTTTCTGTTAAAGGTGTTAACTATTGTATTAGACACTCTTTCTCCTCCTTATACTCTACCCTTATGCCATTATAACATTAAGCAAGAAAAACAAATAAAACAACTGAAAACTGCACATGAAGCTGAAAATGCTGCTTAACACAAATGATCCACTGTTGTCTTCATTCTTTCCATAAATGGGCTGCCCTGAGACATGTAAAATGATTGATTGACAGCCAGAAATCAGCTCTACAGAGTCTACAAAGAATCTGACTGCATCTCGTCATAAAATTTTCATTTGTTGCCATTTATAAAGCCTAGACCTGTTACAGAGACAGTCTGTGATATTTCCATTACACCTATTTCAGTGATACTGTCAAGAAATGGGGATCTTTTCTGAATGCTGATCCATTAAAAAATGACTTAAAGCACCTTTAAGCTTTGCAGTAGTGCAAAAGGCTTTACTGCAGAGTAGTAGTTGTGTGATGGATTACTTCTATAATGTTCGCTCTTACTCTTCTCCAGACCCCATTCGTGCACACCACAGACCGCAATGATTGGACACTGCCTTCCTCGATCGTCCAACTCCTAGTTCTGCTGCACCTGGTTTAAAGACTGCCTGCCTGAGAGCTGATCGTTGCTACAGTTGCCATGACTTAGAAACATTCCTGATACAGAGATGGAGAAAAAGAAACCGTGTCCCCGCCTCCTGGACTACCTGGTGGTAGTTGGAGCCAGGTAAGGAACGTTGTTCATTGGTGTGTGGGTGTGTTTATTTGTGCTTCTATAGGTGCTTAAGTAAATTGCAGAAGAATTGAATCACAGGTGAACTGATTGTGTGTTTTGTTAGTACATGGCCTGTGCAGGTGTGTTCCAGGTGACCGGTCTCAGCTGTACACTGTCAGTTAATGTTAAGGTTAAGGTATACTTTATTGTCCCAGAGGGAAAGTTGTACAGCCACTGCATCACATAAAACAAATAGTAAAATGACAAAATAACACAATACAATAACACCATTAGAAATAAAATAAATAAATTAGAAAGAGGAAAGAAAAAAAAATTACTAAATGCTATTTAATAGCTTAAAGGACAAGTTCGGTATTTTACACTTGAAGCCCTGTTTCAAGATCGTTTCTGATGAAATAGAACGGTTAAGATTAAAATTTGGACACATGCTTCTGTCCCGAGAAATTTCGGTTTCTGTGGTTGCACCCCTCCACCTCCACAATGGTTGCATAGGTGCACAGAAATAATCCTTCCTAAAATGCATTAAACTTTAGTTTACAAAGACGTTAAACTCACTAAGAAAAATGTGTTCATTTGTTCACTGATGTGCTCACACAAAAATCGCTGAAAAAGATGCTTTCCAACAGGTTTTATCGTAGTTTTTGTCCAAGTCAAGTCAACGGAGTTGGACAAAAACTACGATAAAACCTGTTGGAAAGCATCTGTTTTTTTTTTTACTTTTTAGGAAGGATTGTTTCTGTGCGCAGGTGGAGGTGGGGGGGGTGCAACCACAGAAACCGAAATTTCTCGGGACAGCAGCATGTGTCCAAATTTTGTTATTGTAATCAGCTGGTCACAATATGATGGATCAGGAGCCTTGATGTTTGTGGAGCAGCTCCTGTCCTTCTCAAACTTCCAGCCTGTTTTAAAAGTATTTTTATTATTTATGCATATACTGTATATATGTACCACTGCCGTTTAAATGTTTGGGGTCTGTGAGTTTTTTTTTTTTTTTTTTTTTACATTTTTCTTTTTGAAAATATTTTAAAATGTAATTTATTCCTGTGATGTCACAGCCGATTTTTCAGCATCATTACTTCAGTCTTGAGTGTCACTTGATCCTTCAGAAATCATTCTGCGGATTTGATGTTTAAGAAACATTTATTTTTATTATCAATGTTGAAAACGTTTGTACTGCTTAATATGTTTGTGGAAACCATGATACATTTGTTTTTTCAGGATTCTTTGATAATTAGTTCAAAAGAACTCTAGAGGAAATCTTTTGTTATAATTTAAGTCTTTACCGTCACTTTTGATTAATTTAATGCATCCTTGCTAAATAAATTCATTTCGTTCCAAAAAAAACAAACAAAAAAAAACTTCTTACTGACCCCAAACATTTAGTTGGCAGTGTATAGACCTTATGCACCAGAGAAACGAGGGCGCCGCCATCTTTAGAATATTGTCTTTGAACTTCCGTTTTTGCGGTCGCTCTGTATATTTCTATGGCATCGCTGTCCAGGAGTAATTAGCTGGTGAAGTTGATTTACTTATTGTAGAGTTAACGAAAGTTATCATGAGCATTTTAATGTTTATGATAAGCATTGTAAAGCATATGTCTTAACAAATGGACCTTGGGAATTTTTTTAACGAGCCGTTCATTCATAACTACGCAAGATCGCTGTGAAAATACAGACCGGAAGTCAAAAGACAATGATCTCAGCGCGGAAAAGGGGCGTGGCTACATAAGGTCTATAGCAACTGTACAAAGTGCATAAAAGAACAAGCACTGGGGCTGAGAAAAGCCAGAGATCTGTCTTCCTGTCTCTCACTTCAGTTTTTTTTACCTTTTCCTAATCAGGCAACCCAGCAGCGATAGTGTGGCACAAACACCTCAGCTGCTGAGGCGCTATCCGCTGGAGGACCACAATGACTTTCCTCTGCCCCCTGACGTTGTCTTCTTCTGCCAGCCTGAGGGCTGCCTGAGCATCCGTCAGCGCCGGGTCAGCCTCCGCGACGACACATCTTTTGTCTTCGCTCTCACCGACAAAGACTCGGGCATCACCCGCTATGGAATCTGCCTCAACTTTTACCGCTCTTTCCAGAAGGGCCACCACCGCCCACGAGCTGAAGGGAAAGGTCAGAGGTTATAGCAGTTCTATGAGGCGTAACCATTTTGATTATTGCCCTGGTTTTGCAAACTAACCATTTGTAACCCATGTTGAACATCACATATGGCTGAAAGGGTGCAGTCACTACATAATTTGTCCTTAATATTTGACTTTATACAGGAGAAAGGGCCCCTCATACAGACTCTGCAGTGGAGGCCACAGAGAAATCTGACCCCTCTTCATTGACACTTCCAGGGGAATCTACAGTTCCCCCTGCAGGAGATGGGGCTTTGCCACCAGGCGAGCCGGGCAGCATTGGAAAATCTCCACGAGCCAAACGCAGTGGCCGACTGGCACCACAGAACCGGAACAGCACGTTAATGTCTCTGTGTGTTATTAGCCACTACCCTTTCTTTTCTACGTTCAGAGAGTGTCTGTACATCCTCAAACGCATGGTGGACTGCTGTAGCCAGCGGCTCAACCAGAGACCCGGTGCTGCCAAGTCCACACAGCGGTGAGAACAGCCTTCTTTGCTCTTTTCTGTGGATTATGTAGTTATGTAACTTTACCCTGAGATTCAGCAAGATAATACTTGAGCACAGAAGCGACGCCTAATAACCGCAATGTTTTGCAATACCTTACAGTAGATGTGTGAGTGTCAAATACTGTGGTTCTGCCTGAAGATGCTATCTCTGCCTCACAACATAACAACTGGCAACATTCTGCCTCTCTGTTTACAAATCCTGTTACTATCTGCATGCATTCCATTTTGATTTACTCTTTTTGAGTTCACACAAAAAATGAAATTCTAGTGATGAAATGAAATTGAAAGCTAGGTTGAAATCTGAAACCTGAAATCGATCAGTTTTGTTACTGTTTTAATATTAGTAAATTACATGATTACACTAACTTACCTCATTTGATTTTACAGTATCATATATGCTTAAAAAAATTCAATTGGAAAATAAAATGTTTTCTCTCAAAACTCAGTTTTTCAAATCTGGCTAATCGTGATACATGAGAGAACCCATTAAGGTTTCTTCTTGTCCTTATATGTTGGTATTGCACTTTAACCAACAAAGAACTTGTCTCATAATTGAGCAACATGAATATGAGTAGACGATGAAAGAATTATGTTTTTTGGGGTGTATTACCTCTTTAAATACGTTCTGCTGGGAATGCCATAAGGGCTCTACGTTGTTAGATCCTGTATAATGTTGTGACTGATTAGAATGACGAGTAACAAGGTGCGGATGATTTTATAAAAGGAAATCACAAGTGGAAGGATGTGTGACAGCCCTTTGACTCAGAAAGAGGGACGAGTGAGTGTAAAGGAGTTTGAAGATGAGTGTTGGTGTGACAGGGGCTGGGATTGTGTGAAGGAGAGAGGGGCTGCTTTTTTCCTCCTGAAGGGCTGTGCAATGTGCAAGCAGCCTTGCAGTGTTATTCTCCACACAGGAGTGGTTTTAACTAGATCTCATTCACATATCACAGTGGTAACGGTAACTAAATACTTGAGTGTCTATTGGTAAACAATCTATACGATTGCACTCTGCTGCAGATCAATAAGCATTGAGTGGAAGGATTTTTATCTCTGATTTCCTCAGCAAAGTCTATTCTTGCGTAACCTAGCAACCACATCCACCATGAGCCACAGTCGCGCTCGCAGGCCTCAATTTGTTTGCAGTTCAATTGTCCTGCCAAACCCCTTTTATTTGCTTTCAAGTGTGGAGAATAATTTAACCAGTACAGCAGCCTGTGTATGGCAAGCCGTTTGAACTTTTATTCATTTCCAGGATATGAATCCTTGATATCAACAATTACATTTTCACTAGTTAAAATGATAATTATTGAAATCAGGAATAATATTTCTACTAGTAACAATGGCAATTTTGGATATCAGGAATTACATTTTCACTAGTAACAATGCTATTTCTTGATATCAACATTTACATTTTCACTAGTTAAAATGATAATTCTTGATATCAACAATTGAATTTCAACTAGTTAAAACTATAATTCTTGATATCTGTAATTGTATTTTCACTAGTGAAATGTCACCATAGGCTGCCATTCAAAATCAATTCCTGATATCAAGAAATGATTTCTTACTAGTTGAAATTCCAATTTCACATATCAGAAATACAATTCTTACTAGTAAAAAACTTTATTTTTGATATCAAGAATTAAATTGTCACTAGTTGAAATGTCTATTCTTGATATCAACAATTGAATTGCTACTAGTAACAATGTTCATTTTTGATATCAATAATTCAATTTTCACTTGTGACAATGTTAATTTCTGATATCATGAATGTGATTGTTACTAGTAAGAAAGCCATTTTAGATATCTGAAATAAAATTGATATCAGAAATACATTTTCAGATATCAAAAATGAAAATTTTTACTAGTAGCAATTCAGTTGTTGATATCAAGAATAGACATTTAGACTAGTCACAATTTAATTATTGATATCAGGAATTCGCATTTTTACTAGTAACAATGTAATTATTGATATCAAAAATTATATTTCTACTAGTAAGAAATCAATTCTTGATATCAACAATTGATTTTGAATGGCAGCCTATGGTGACATTTCACTAGTGAAAATACAATTGTTGATATCAAAAATTCAATTGTTGATATCAAGAATTCAATTGTTGATATCAAAAATGTAATTCTTGATATCAACAATTCATATCCTGGAAATGAATAAAAGTTAAAACGCCTTGCCATAGCCTGTGTTGAGTGTTCAGTTGTAGTGAAGTAGTTCATATATTCCATGTAGATGCAATTTTTTTCAATCTTTTTTATCTTTTTCTTGCTCATTCAGTTGAATTCTGATCATCTGCATTTCAAATTTAAATGTTTATTAAGCATTCAGAGTTTTTTTTTTTTTTTGCAATTAAAGGTATGAATGGAAAAACATCTGAGATGAGATGAAGACTCCAGTCATAGAGAAGCTGTTTTATTATACAGTGGGTAGAGTCACGTCATTTTGAATATGTCAAGATCTCATGACTCAATTTTTCAGAAACCCTCAGTTATAGGACACTTTTGCTTTTGGAATTAATTATTCATGGCTGACTGGAAATGGAGTATTTCTACAATGGCATCTGTGACTTCAGCTTTTGCCTGATGCTACATTTACATTGCTAAGTGTTAGTCCATAGTTAGTGGTAGTTTGTGTTTGTCAATAATCATACTATAAAGACCCATTCACACACAGGAAGTCCACACCACAGCTGTAACAATAATGACTCCCAACATTATTGGACATTATCATTATAGTTGTGGCCTAGTGTGAATGGGCCTTAAAATGAATAGGTGACCAATAACCATCTTCACTGTATGTTTCACTGTATGCTTCATTGTTGTTTTTGTGGTTTTCCTTTGACGGAGGATTAAAAGTAATGATACAGAATCAGATTCCTCCTGTGTTTAAGGTTGTGACACACCAAGCAGACGGTCGGCCAATGTCGGGCCATCGATGAGCGTCTGTCTGAGCTAGTTTTTGCAGTGTGTTCCACACATCGGCTGTAGTCAGGCCCCCGTCGATGACAGTTCGGCCGATTCAGCATAGCGAGAGAGTCGGTGCGTGCATGAGAATAAAAGTGAAACTAATGAAAGCCAGCAAAGAAGTCATCTTACGTCATCTTACCTGAGCATTCCAATATGCGAATACTTACATATCAACATTAGCTGCCTGGAATGAAGAAAGTATTCAACATAATTTATGTTCAAAATGGTAAGCAAGCACTGCTTTGTTTACGGTTCGTATAGGCCTATCTGCCGTCCTAGTTTAAGTTTCCCTATTTAAATGACGAATGTAGAGAGCTGCTTATAATACAGTTATTACTTACAGGCAGAACGTATGTGCTGGTTGGCAGTAATCTTTGCGGTGTGTTCAAGTACAGCTTTTTGTCCCAGACACAGCAGACGCGAGGCGACAATTTCAGTCATGAAAACAGACGTAAAGCATGAATCTGTTTGTTTATAAAAATTAATCAAACTTAAAGCTATTGGAAATATCAGCGCATAATCGTGCTCTTGACAATCGTAAACAGCCAACAGTTTGGCTAATGGACTATATTACTTGGTGAAAGCTTAGTTTATTCTTGCGTTGTGCCTAAGTACACCCTAATTTATTGTTTTAATTAGAGTGCCTACCTACTTGGCAGTCTCAAACATGGCCTTATGTCACATTATAGTGAACATTTCAAATAGAAATGACTCAGACACCATCAAGAGTTTACTGTGTGTATATTTGCCACATAGTGACTTTGCAGTGAGTGTGTCATCATGTTCTCTCAGTACTGCAGTGACCTTGGCTTTACCCACATTTGTAGCTTTCAGTATGCACTACTCAACCTTGTAATGACAAAACACACCATGCGTCATACTGTTCTCAACTGGGCTACTCTGTGTGAGAATAGCCATATGCCAGTCCAATTGCCTAATCATCAAACCAGAAATCAGTTTTCACTTTATCAGCTTAAACTCAGTTTCACTATTGTTGTTCTCTTTTAATGAAACACAGGAAACCTGCGGTTATGGAAATCCAGGAAGTATAAGGGGAATTTTAAAATTGTAATGTCCAGGCCTGGAAAAGTCCAGATTTCATATACGCATAATCTGAATATACACAACTGTTCAAAATTTGACTCAGTAAGAATTTTTCTTCTTTTTTTTTTACTTTTATTTAGCAAGGACACGTTAGATTGATAAAAAGAGCCAGTAAATACCAAATGCTTATCTTTTGAACTATTCATCAAAGAATCCTGAAAAAATGCATCTCGGTTTCTACAAAAATATTAAGCAGCACAATGGTTTTCAGCATTAAGAATAATACGAAATGTTACTTGAGCACCAAATCAGCATATTAGAATGATTTTTGAAGGATCATTCTAAAAGAAATAAGAAAATTCATAATTTGCCATCACAGGAATAAATTACACAATATTCAATTCAATACATATTTATTTGTATAGCGCTTTTCACAATACACATCGTTTCAATGCAGCTTTACAGAAAATAGCAGCTTTATAGAATGTATGTTGTCCACATTACAATTTAGAGTGATCTGTTATCAGAGGTATCTGTCTAATATTACTGTTTTACTGTACGTATTTTTAATCAAACAAATGCAGCCTTGTTAAGCATAAGAGACTTCTTTCAAAAACATTTAAAAAAATCTTACTGGCCTTAAAAAAAATTTAACTTGTAAATGGTAGTGTATGTTTTTATTTATGGCCAGTTCTAAAATACTTAATTGGGTAGATGATTGCTCTTTTTTTTTTTTGTGAAATCTGTATAAAAATGTTGTTTTTTTTGTTTGTTTTTTGTTATCTAGTAATTGAAATGACAGTAAAAGTATGTAACTTCATTAGTCAAAAGGTGCAGGTGCAACACGTATAATATGCAACTGTTTTGCATATTAGGATATTGCATTAGCGTCATATTTCAGTGCAGAACTGTGGTTGGCTAGAGAGTCAATATGTATTAGCATTCATGTCCCTAAACAGGCCTGTCTTAATATGCAACAGTTTAACTATATGCAGCTACACCACAGATTAATAAAGACGTCGGTCTCAGTGGTTTTGACACCGCAAATTGACAGTGGAGGGGGAAAAGATAACGACGGGTAGAGTGAGAGAACAGAACACGTTAAGAGCTAGAGAGTGTGTGGAGCTGGTGGAGACAGGCTGTGTGACAGATTGAGGCCACTGACTGTTCTCAGAGAGCAGCTGTGAGAAGTGGGAGTTCTCAGATGAACCAATTATGACTTACTGCAGTACCTCCACTCAGCCCACACAACCATAGTCTGGCCTGTCTGGATCTTTAAAAGAAGGCACTGTGTTATGTAGGGATAAATGATGTACCAGAAAAGCCTTGGCAAACTAAAACCAGTATTATATTCAAATAGAAAATCATATTTGCTGGTCTCCAATGATAATTGCAAGTTACTCTTAATGCAGTTGTTCTCAACCTTTTTGACTTGAAGGCCCCCCGTTTTCCAACGCAATATTCAAGATGTAAACTGAAATATGACTTGTTTACATCTTGCTTTTATGTTTGTTTTAGCATTTAGATTAGAGTTAGATTATTTTAATATAGTAATAATTATACATTTAAATACTTTTAAGTCATCATGTGACTTAAACCCTTGGAAGTTTGATGAGGCCCTCTAGTGGGCCCCGGCTCTGCAAGAAAACGTAAGGTTACATGCTGACATTATTCAAACCCCTCTTTGCCTGGGAGGAGATTGAATAATGGAGGGGTCTTAACTTTTGGAGGGCACTGTATGGATTTTAATAAATCTGGATTGGACATGGTCAGCAATAATTCTTGGGTGCTATTCTAATGATGCTCAGTTGGTATTAAAGAAATAGTTAACCCACAAATAAAAATTAAGTCATTCTTTTCTCATCCTGGTGTTCTCATCAAAGTCAAACTTGATCACAGAATGATCCATTGCGACTATATTCCAAGTGCTCGGGAGACAGGCAGAAACATACATAGGGTTTGTAATTGTATTATTAGATTATTAAAAGTTAATTTGTTATTTATTGAAAAATTTGACCTTGGTTGTTGGTTTGCTGTACACGAGACTGTATTATTGCTGCAGTTTACTTTGTCTTACCCAGGAAAAGCCATAAGTGCACCTTTTTGAATAATCAATCTTAACACAACAAAAAACCTATAAAAACCCAAGTAATTATCCATGTACTTCCTTCTCTGTGCTGAATGTATCTGTTGTGTTGTGTATCTGTGTGTTGACTGTCATCTGACAACCGAAGTTCCAGTCTGGAGATATTCACCTCAGAGAAGAAAGCATACTTTTTTGAGTTTTCTGGGCATCATGGTTTGTCTAGTTAACATACACTTTGTATGTTATGGTGTTATCTAGTGCTTGTAGAGCTTTTGAACTTTGTGCCTGATCACTGCGGTACCATCATTTTACTTAAAGTGATTTGGCTAGTAGTTTAATCCTGAACCGTAGATGCCAGCTGCCACTGTTTTTGTGCTATTTCTGTCCTCCAGGCTCTAGAATAGACCACTGAATCAAGACAATGCCTTAATGTACTGGACAGTTTGAAAACCAATTAATGAACAACTATTAAAAGTTAAAAAATTCAAGGAATGAAATAGAAAAGTTCAGCAATATGAACAAAGATAACTGAAAGGGGAAGAGAGCTTGTCATACTTATTCTTGGTTGTACTTTTGAACCTGAGCCCTGATCCTTATAGAAAAATGTAAATATGTGTGTATTTCTCTCCCCCAGGGACACAATGTGGCGTGTGTTCACAGGCGCTCTGTCCGTTGAGGAAAAGGAGAAGGGCAGTCAGGTGCTACAGGACCTGAGGGAGATCGAGTCATGGGTATATCGCCTTCTGCATTCCCCAGTGCCTGTCGCTGGTCAGCGACGTGTTGACGTGGAAGTACTGCCCCACGAGCTGCAGCCTGGACTGACCTTTGCCCTTCCAGACCCGTCCCGCTTCAGCATTGTAGACTTCCCTCTCCATCTGCCCCTGGAGCTGCTGGGAGTCGATGCTTGTCTGCAGGTCCTGGCCTGCATTCTGCTGGAACACAAGGTATGGATGGCCAGAGGAACACAACTTCACTCTATCAGATGACATAGGCCCATAGATTACCATATTTGTGTACTATTTTCATGGTACTATAAGATACATCAAAGAGCATGGTACCACCATGGTAAATGTCCAGAAATACCATGGTACTTAACGCATGCACCATATAGCAGTACCTTATTAGTTATTGGCCGATATTAGTTTTTTTTTTATATATATATATATATATATATATATATATATATCGGTATTAGTCAATATTGGATATTTAATTGTTTATGCTAATTTCCCCTATTTTTTCATTTAGATTACCTTTGCACTAGTAATTTACACTTAAATATAAGAATTTTATATTCATATTATTATGTAATTTTATTATACTACTCAAAATTAATTTTCAATTTATCTAGACATAATTATATTTTATTTTATAAAATTGTATATAAAATTGTAATATTGACCATTTATATTATATCTTGCTATCATCATAGCATGAAAATGATTATCAGCCAGATCCTAATATATTCCAGTGGTTCCCAAACCTAGCGGTGTGTGAGGTACGCAAACAACATGCTGAGTTTTGCCATTCATTTAATTCTACCCCCACCTTAAAATAACATTAAAACCGAGCATGTATTTCTAACAGGCAAAATGCCATAAAAGGTCAAATACATGACATCCAATCAAATTACCTCATCTTTTGCTGTCAAAACTGACTGCATCCTCACAAGCAGTGTGCATATGATGCAGAGTAAGCTGCCTTAGCAAATCGCACTACATTACTGCCATTCTCGACAATGCACCTTTGTAAAAGTGGGGTTTTAGCACTTACTAGCATAAGAAACAAATATAGGCACAGGCTGTACATAGAGATACATTTAAGATTCAAACTCTCTTCAATGCAAAAACATACCCGGTGTGAGTTCTTGTTTTTAATGTTGATTGTATATTATATGAGCAGAATGCTATTTTTTTTTTTCTGAATATCCACACGATTGCGAATGTGACATTGATTTTATACAGCAGTTCAACAAACAGAGGGGTAATATTAAGTTATGTACATTTTAAACAGTTAGTATTGTTTGCTCTGTTTTGCAACAAAATAATAGTTCCAACGAAAGCCACAGCAGAACTGAAGCAAACAGCGGTGTTTCATGAAAGAAACAGCGGCTTTGAACGAATCGTAAGAGTCAATGGTTCATTGACCCATTTATAAATACAGCCACTTGCTTCGTTACTGAATGAATGAATGACTCGATGATGACTCACTCATTAAGACAGTGACTTACGCCACCTACTGGTGGTTTAAGTTTAATATTTAAATGTATCGCTTTGTTTTTACCATCATTGCATATCTCTCTATTAAATTTTTTTTTATTTAAAACGTTCTTTATTTTCATAAGGGTATTTGCAAAGGTAACAATGCACTGGAAAATTAATTTAAAGGTGCAGTAAGCGTATTTTGAAAAACGCTGTTAAAAAGTGGATCGGACCGAGCACCTCAACACACTTGTAGCCAATAAGCAGTAGGGGGCGTGTCCACTCATAATGGGAGAGCTGAGTTGAGCAACAGAGATGGCTGAGAGAGACATTACAAAAGAGTAAAGACCAGAAAAAGAAGGGTTATGATCAGGCAAGAGCTTTAGGATCCACGTTAATATTAGAAAAGCTTTCCAACGCTGGAGATAAATCAGCGAGAAGGCCTGAAAATGGACGCTGAGGTTGCATTGTTTCTGCTCTATACGTGAGTAACGTTGATTTTGATGCGAGCGACTAACAATAAACTCTTGCTTGTATACTCTTGTGTACGGTATGTTCATTTTTTTTGTGCTTCCATTGCCATCTTCGCTTTATTATTCGTGTGCATTTTGGGGGCAGAGCAATGAAGGGAGTGTTGTGTGTGTGTGTGTTTGTTTGGGTTGATTTTAAATATCAACGGTGTTCAACAACGATTTTGAGAAATTGCATACTGTACTTTTAAGGGGGCAAAAATTGTCTCTTAATGGAAAAGGTGTGACTGCAGTCTAAATGGAAGAGAGGGGGTACACAGAAGGATGTTAAATGCCTCAGGGGGTACACGCAAGTTTGGGAACCACTGATCTATACAACACTGGCATATATTTATATATATATATTCATTTGTAGCAGTTGAAATGAATTTTCATTAATTTTATTTTAATACAAAATTAGTATGATTAATGACTTGCGCTATTGACCTGAATTTTCATAGTGCATTGCTATTTTAAACTCGTATAGGAGTAGTGTAATTCTGAATTTTCTTCTGAGCTTGTTGTATTTTTGGCACTTAATGTCTCACAAATATCCTTTAAGTTTTGTGTTTAAAATGATAGTCGTGCATGCATAGTGAGAGAGGTACTGATGTAAACATTTTTAAAATCTTTTATGCTGTATTTACCAAGAGTATTGGAGAGAGCAAGCTTTTGAAATATATATTATTGCTGTGTCATTAATCAGGTTAATGGTTGTCTGTAGATCTGCTGTTTCATGCGGATCTAGTCTTCAATTTGTCTATGTGGGTCACACTGATAGTAACAAGGGGACTTCCTTTCACCCTCTGCTGTCTGTAGGTGGTACTGCAGTCCCGAGATTATAACGCCCTCTCAATGAGCGTCATGGCGTTTGTTGCAATGATTTACCCCCTTGAGTACATGTTTCCTGTCATTCCACTGTTACCCACCTGCATGGCCTCCGCAGAACAGGTAACATGAAATCATTTTTGTGCAGTTGGTGTATAAACAATGAAGCTCTCCTTCAATGTTCCCTCTAATTTTTTTTCTTGCTGAGCAAAACTTTTTTCTATTGGGCGGATATTTTTCGCCACCAGAGCAAAAATATTCTTTATACCTGACCTGTTCAGCATACGTAGAAACACAATGGTTTCAACATTCAGTTGTAACTTTTAACTTGAATGTGCCATTTCTATTTTATTTGACCCTTGATGTAACTTATTGGTATTAAATCATATTTTTGAAAAACAAGCAGTTAATTAAGAAGTCACTAAATGAAGCACATTTTAGGTTACCAGATTTTTTTTTTTTTTTTTTACAGTGCTGTTAACTGTACAGTCTTTACCAAGAAATCCTATGAAAAATAATTGACAAAATCTTCTGCAGGACAGTTCAATTCTTTACAATAATAGAATATAGTATGAAAGAAAAGTAAACTGTTACACTGAGATGGTTTGGGAAAACCATAAAGTGTTTTTGTACAGTCAATTAATTGTGTACAGGAAGCATTAAACCATCAAAGTTAAATGATTGTTTATTGCTTATGAATTTCCAATATTTTCTTTAGCAGGGGGTTTCAAACCTTTGACAATGGCAATGAGCCCTAAACAATACCCTTGTGAGATTCTTTATTTAGGCTTATAATATAATAAAATATATTAGGCATAATATAATACAAAACACCCGAATTGAAGTATTTTAAGTGATATAATATATCAGTTTAAATGCTTCAATTTGTTTACATATTATATTATTATAATATGAAAAAAAAACGAAGCATTTAAATAGATCTAATAGCTAAATATTTTCAAGAAAAGTGAATATGTGACCAGAGCACTGAAATTATTTCTCACTTAAACTACAATCAAATGGATTTCCCCACACATTTTGCGTCAGTCCTCTGCGTGGCATTTTATTCCTTTCTGTGCAGCCGCAGCTTCAGAAGTGCGCGAGCGCGCACGCGCGCAGTTTAGAGGGAACATTGCTCTCCTTGTATCTGTCAAACACATCTCTTTTTTTCTAGCTCCTGCTAGCACCCACTCCATATGTCATTGGTGTGCCTGCCAGTTTCTTCCTGTACAAAACTGATTTTAAGATGCCAGATGACGTTTGGTTAGTGGATCTGGACTGCAACAAGGTATATTGTCTATTTACACGATCTGGAACTACCCAGACAGGGGTTTGTGGATTCTAACATGTTTGTAAATTGTGTATATAGCGGTCTTATGTGGGTTGTATATCTTTATCCCTGCAGGTCATTGCTCCAAGCAATGCAGAATTGCTCCCTCCCCTTCCTGAACCCGAGGCCTCTGAGCTGAAGAAACACTTGAAGCAGGTAAACGAACCAGATCTTCTCATCTCTCTAAGGAACCCTACCATTAACTGTGAATCTGAAGTGAGCACTAACTAGATTCTAGTAGCAATGCATAGTAATTATACTGTCATCTAGCAGCTGCTGTAAACATGATTAATTATAATAGTGCAATTAAACCAAAGAGAAGGCTGACAATGCACAGATATTTTTAAACTATCATTTGAAGCCAAATGCAGACAAGACATTTTCTGATGTTCCTAAAGTTTGTTTACCAATTCATCTTTTAGTTGATCACTTATGTATTGTAATGACTGTATATTCTCCCCCTTTTTTGTTCCAGCTCTTGGAGGTAATAAGTTTTGAGTTTCCCCATCTATAGACTCGATAATGGTTCTAGTTCTCTCGCTTAACCCTTTACAATCCCACATAGACCCTTATCTAGAGCTTCTGACCTGATTCTGGGCACCTCTGAGCTTAATCAAACCCCATTAACATTTCACTGTTTTGTCATCGATCATTGTGATACACTGACAAACTGCCCTTCCTCATGTCTCTTTAATAGAGATGCATTTAATTTGACCACAATCTGTTGTCTTTGTGTTTGTTAGTCTGTAGCAGAATTTCTCAGCCAAATTTATTTACCATTTTGTTTCATCTTGCATCAAACATAATTATCATGCTGTCATTGTAATATCTCAAGCCAAAATAGTCAATACACTGACTCATCAGTTGCGTCTCACAGATCGTGAGTCATGAGTCTTCATTCGCCATTATGAATCACCATTAATCAGGTCCTCATTTTCAGATCATGATGGTTTTAAAACCTGATTTAGATTGAAGGTAATTTTTTCAGTGGTTTAGAGACGTACAGTAGTGCCCTGTCGTGTCAAAAAAATGATAAAAAAAATTGGAGAGAGACAGTGGTTCAAGAACTCCATGAGCCAATATGGAAATTTATATTTTTCTTGTCACTGTCATTCGGTGCTATTTTTCACTCAATCGAGCTTCAGATTTTAGAGAAATTTTTATTTAACCTGTTAACTGTCACCCCCCTTTTTTTTGCATAGACATAAAAATCACTATCCAAACTTAAATGGTTGTAATTCAGGAATGCTTTGGAATATAGACCTATGGCTGGTCTTGTTTTAAAGAAGACATTTTCCAGATTATTGTAGAAGTCTAGAAATTATAAAAAAATGAAACAGAAAAAAAGTTATATAAGTTTGAGTTTATGAAATTTTGTAATGTAAAAATATAATGATTAATATTTTATATAAAATATATATATTACAAAACATATTTTACTCTAAAACTGCAAGAAAATTAAAGATAAAAATCTGAACAAGTTGTATTCCAAATTTTAGGTTGATATCTCAAAAAATGAGCTTTTTTAGTAAGATTTTATTCAGGCACAGTACCCAACTTTTTCACTAGGTGAACACCAGACTCCATTACTGCCCATATAAGGGCGCCTCCATTTTCATATGTTTTGAGTGATCTGAACCATGTATTTCCATAATTTTCATACAATTTAGGAAGTAGACATCCTATTCAGAAGTAGTATGGGTGGTTTGGCAGTATTTGATTTGAATTAAACCTCTAATAAATGCATAAAGACTACATTATAGCGTTATAGCTCGCAGCCGCATCACAAATCGAGAATCCATACATTTTTCTTTATATTTAAAACATTTTCAGACCTTTTTTTCTCATAAAATGGAATTGGTGTTATCTTTTGAACTCATGGCATGAAAACAAACTGAGGTTTCTACCAATCTTTCATGATTTTTCATGTTTATTGTTATTTCAAAATAAAGGCCTAAATACTCCTAATGAATATGAAATATTCTTGTTGCAAATTGATACATTTCTGCTCCTCTGTAATTTATTTTAGATAACAGCCACCAAATATGAAAACTAGAGATTTTAAACTTTCAAATGATATATAGTTTGGCAATATTACTTTAGGTTTTTACTAAGATATTATTGTTTTAAACATGCAATGGCAAATGGGTTAAGACAGGTTAAGAGGTTAACATCCGACCTTAACATCAACATGAAATCAAAATTCACTCTGTTCACTTGGGGTTGGGGTGACATCACCAAAAAGAGTATCCTGTTTTGCTTTTTGTTCATTGAAAATCCTGTTTCACTCCTAAAAAAAAAACCTTCATCACATTAATGAAGTAATAGTAAAATAGGTTGAGAATGCCATTTTATCTTGACTAGCACCTACCAAATATGGTTTAAGTTTTGTACACATTCTCCATTGACAAGTTTGTTTGAGATCTGCTTCCCTTTCCACCTCATAACCCACTGGTTTTCTTCAGATTGGTGTGTCTTTTCTTTCTGTGTGCACTCATACTGTCCAGTTAATGGTCGTGTTGTGTCTTCAAGTGTTCTCTTTTTGTCTCTCTGTGTTTTTTTTCTACTGCCTTGAATTGTCTCCACTCACTTTTAGTCACATGATTTCCTAAACTTTCTCAGTGACAGGTAGTCATGTGACATTGCCTCCATGTTTTCTTGTGTCCTTCAGTGTCTGGTAAGGTTGACTGTGATCACCCAAAAGCAGATCTTCGCCTCCGATTCCAAGGTTCACAAATCTTTGCATTTTGAATGTGCACGGAAAAAATAACTCCTGTCTCTCCCCCTGTCATCAACACTCGTAGACCTATCACTCTCAGTAACCTTAACAAATATTGAAGCCATACAGATACTTCTTTATTCCACACCCTTTGAATAAACACACTCAGAAACTCACACACTTGTGACTGTGTTTGCCTCCATAGCCTCTAACTCTCTGCACTCTTCCTCCACTTCTCTCTGTGTGATGAAGGTCTTACAGAAGCCCCCGTTTCTTATAGCACTATGTTTGGCTTGAGCATGTTCCAATGCAACTTCTCACTTACATTATGCTCATTAACCCAAAGCAAAAAAAATAAAAATAAAATCATTGTAAGTAGCAGGAGCAGATGATGCGATTGGTTTGGTCAAATGGCGTGGCAAACGCAGGGTCTGATGGAATGCCAGCTGAGAGGCATTGAGTGAGCAATGGCAGAATTCCCAGAGTGCTTTGTTAATGGCTCTATGTGATGACCGCACCCTTCCCTCTAACATTTTGACTATTTGATTACATTTTTTATGCAGCACAGTCGTTTCAGGCAATTGCTTTCTCTCTCATCCCTCTGTAACTTTTTCAGAACTTTAAAGGATTAGTTCACCCAAAAATGAAAGTTCTGTCATCAGTTACTCACTCTCATGTCATTTCAAACATAAAAGACTTTCATCCATATTCAGAACACAAATAAAGACATTTTCAATGAAATCTGAGAGATTTCTGCCCCTCCATTAATTCCGAAATTCAGAAGAGACACGATCGCTTTATATAATGAAAAGATTTTATTTAGGCTTTTACTCACATACATATATGCATAACACTGATCAATGCACATACATAGAGCACACCAAATATGGTAAACCAAAGCTCAAATGTGCTTGTTTGACGTGTGAGAACCCATGAGGTTTTTTTCTTGTGTGTCATGCAAGCACATTTGAGCTTCTGTAAGAACCATTCAGGTTCGTTTTTATGTTTCATGCTCCATATTTGATGTGCTCTATGTATATGTGTTTATCAGTGTATATATGTAAATAAACAGCCTAAATTAAATAGATATTAAAAGATAATGCGTTTGGAAGTGTGTAAATGATGACAGAATTTTCATTTTTGGGTGAACTATCCCTTTAATCTAATTTTGTGCAATCTTATTTAAATAAAAATTGTTTCACCTTTGCCATTCAGAAGGTTTGTAGACAGAAGTTAATTAATGTAGGCCTGCAATGTGAGGCATGATTGCCTGAGGCGATAGTGCTCTTACTTCAATCTTCCCTGTCAGGATTCATTGTTAAATTGATCTCTCCTGTATCCATATTCCTCCTCCACCTCTCTCTCTCTCTCTCTCTCTCTCTCTCTCTCTCGCTCTCTCATCAATTCCTCCATACAGGCTCTGGCTAGCATGAGTCTGAACACACAGCCTATACTGAATCTGGAGAAGTTTCAGGATGGACATGAGTTGTCTTTGTTGCCCCCTGGTCGTGACAAAGCCTCCCCCTCCTCCACTGAGTTCAACCCGCTCATCTACGGCAATGATGTGGACTCAGTTGATGTTGCCACAAGGTATAAAGTATTGTATACTCTAACTAACGGGATGGGATTGACCGGGGTTTCTATGTTAATACTGTGTAATTTTAGTACCATTTTAGGTACCAAATGGATCTAGAAAAATCGTTTTTTCTAACATATAAAGGTCCAAAAGCCATAACATGTATTTGTAAAATTTCAAATATTCGTATACAGTCAGTCTCATTCAGTCAACAACTGTTTGTATGCTTGTATTTAAATTATGATTTATCAATAGCTTTTGTGCTAAAATGTATTCTGGATTTACAAACAACTGAAAGCACACATACGCAAAATCATATACCCTTGGTGGCCTTATAAACATGTTAAGATGGAATTCTTTGAGGACAGCACGCTTGGCATTGCTCGAGGATATTGCTGCGTGTTGTCAGGCGAGAGCGTGTCTGTGCGGAAACTCTTTAAATGGAAGTGATTTAGCCGCATTTTATGTAAATGAATAAACGAAATGCTGTCACTCATTTAGAGTACTCCAAATTTATTAACATTGCAACGATGCTTTGAACAAATTTTGTGCACATGGCATGCATGCGTTGTGAACTTCTCCTGTGTGTATTATACAGATAATCAATGCAGTTATTAGTGAATAAAACCCATTGTTTTTGTTTTTGCTGCATACAATACATTTAAAACAAGCCAAAAAAATTGCTCATAAAATATTTGTTCTGTTCTGCCCCATAATGTACATGATTTTGATCTTTTACATGATTTTGATCTTGCCATTAGGGTGGCGATGGTGAGATTCTTCAACTCTCCAAATGTGCTACAAGGGTTCCAGATGCACACACGCACTCTGCGCCTTTTCCCCCGTCCTGTGGTGGCATTCCAGGCCACGTCTTTCCTAGCCTCTCGCCCTCGGCGGAGTGGATTCACCGAAAAGCTCTCCCACACCCAAGCGGTTGAGTACTATGGAGAGTGGGCTCTCAACCCCACCAACCTGGCTTTCCAAAGGATTCATAACAGTAAGAGACATAGATATACCTGATCCGTCATCCTTAAGCTGCCTTTTCTTTGACCTCCAGATTTGACTGTCACACTTTGCCCCCTTGTGGCAAATGTTAAACAGTGTAAATGTTAAATAATGTAAATAATTATAACTGACTTTATTCATATCTGCCCATTCTAGATGTAACAGGTCTTTATCATAAAGTTAGAAATGATTGATGATTCTCCTCTTAGCAAAAAATTAAATCCAATCTTACATCTGCAGAGGGTGACAACTCCACGCAGCCCTATCTTCAGTTGTAACTTCTCCTAAGCAGTGTAAAGGCAGCTTTAAACTTAAAGGGATAGTTCACTTTGAAATTAATTTTTGGTATGTTTTAGCTTACCTCAAGGGCATCCAAGATGTTGGTGTCTTTGTTTCCGCAGTAGTTTAAATTTTGATATTTTTAGGTCAAACCGTTCTTGTCTGTCAGTCATATAATGCAGGTCTATGGTCACCACCTCAAAGAGTATGCACAGAGAAGTCCAAATTAAACATGATTTAATGACTCGTAAATGTAAGTACACATTGATGGCCTAAGACACGAAACGAGCGGTTTGTGTGAGAAAACGAACAGTATTTATATCGTTTTTACCTCTTGTAACCACAGACCGAAGCGCTCGCGCCCTCAGATCACTTTGACGTGGCTGTGGTTACAAGAGGTAAAAACGATATAAATACTGTTCGTTTTCTCACACAAACCGCTCGTTTCGTGTCTTAGGCCATCAATGTGTTCTTACATTTACGAGTCATTAAATCATGTTTAATTTGGACTTCTCTGTGCATACTCTTTGAGGTGGTGACCATAGACCTGCATTATATGACTGACAGACAAGAACGGTTTGACCTAAAAATATTAAAATTGAAACTACTGCGGAAACAAAGACACATACATCTTGGATGCCCTTGAGGTAAGCTAAAACATACCAAAAATTAATTTCAAAGTGAACTATCCCTTTAACTGCAGGTACAGTTTCACTGTAAAGACTGTCCATTATGTGTTTCCCACTATGTGTGTAGTCAGTGTATCTGTGTGTATTTCAGATGTGTACGACCCTTCTCTAATAGGCGATAAGCCTAAGTGGTACGCCCATCAGTTACAGCCAGTATTCTACCGTGTGTACGATGGAAACTCTCGTCTGGCAGAGGCATTGAGTGGACCCCTGCAGGATGAGACCAATGATTCAGACCCAACAGATGACAGGTTGAAAACACCAAATACACACTTATACGTGTCTATTAGTTTTTGTGAACGTGCAGCTTAATACACATTCACAAAAATGTGCTATTGATTCTTTTTTACATTTACATACATACACTACCATTCAAAAGTTTGGGGTTAGAATGTTTGAATTTGTAGAAATGAATACTTTTATTCAGCAAGGGTGTATTTAAATTGATAAAAAAAACAGTGCAGACTATAATAATAAAGTGTTACAAAAAGTTTTCTATTTAAAATAAATGCTGTACTTTAAAAAAAATATATTCATCAAACAATCTTGAAAAATGTTTTCAACAAAACAATTAAGCAGCACAACTTTTTTCAACATTGATTGATAATAAGAGTTACTTCAGCAGCAAAGCAGCATATTGGAATGGTTTTTGAGAGATGTGACACTGAAGACTGAAAATTCAGCTTTGCCATCACAGGAATTACATTTTAAAATAGAAAATAGTTTTTAATTTTAATTTATAATAATAATTTACAATATTACTGTTTTAACTATATTTTTGATCAAATAAATGCAGCTTTGCTGAGCATAAGAGACCTCTATCAAAACATTTAAAAAAATCTTACCAAACCCAAACTTTACATAAATCGATTTTTGTGTTCAAAATGTTTTTTGACTATTTTAAATTTGATTTATTTGTTATTGTTTACTATTTATTTCAGTGGTAGTGACAGTGAAGCATATGATGACTCCAGCTCTTCCTACTCATCTCTTGGAGATTTTGTGAATGAGATGATCAAAGGGGACATACAGGGGGACACACCAAGTTAGCTTCTCTATTTTTTCCTAACCATAGACTCTTTTTCTTGCCTTATTTATCACTTTATAGAGCTCAATCTTGATTAAACTCAGAACTGTTGAGAAGTTCAGCTTCATAATTGTTCTATTTGCTCTTTAGATGTTGACCCCCTGACCCATGCTGCACTGGGAGATGCAAATGAGGTAGAGATCCATGACTTCCAGGAGTTTAAGGGGGACAGCGGTGACCCAGAGCCAGAGGGTCCCCTGGAGACAGCGGACAGCCAGCCGCTGCGGTCCAGCTCCAGCACCACGGCCAGTTCCAGCCCCAGTACAGTCATACAGGGAGTCAACCATGTCAGTGCTCAAACTACATGTGTTATCTGAATCTAGCGCAAAGCCTCATATGGCGTTATACCTAAAGTGTATGTGTTTCTTTGTGCAGGAGCAGAAGGAACCTGTTGATGTAGAGGCGACAACAAGTGTGCCCATCAAGAACTCTGTCCCAGGATTGGGTGCTCCACCTTTTACAAGACCCGGTCCTGATCCGGTGCCTGTTGACCCAGGCAATAAGAAGCGCGAGTATGATAATCCCTATTTTGAACCCCAGTATGGCTTCCCTACAGAAGAAGATGCAGAAGCAGATGAGCAGGAGGAGAGTTACACACCACGATTCAATCAGAATCTTAATGGCAACAAGTATGTATTTGTTAATAGTCCTACACAAACACACAGAATTTATATCTCAGTTGCACAGGCCAGCACTCAAAGTCCTAAATTGTGTGTGTGTTTAGGCCATCACGTCCATTGAGACCCAGCAGTCTGAAGCTTCCAGGTGAATCTGACGGGGAGGGAGACTCCAGAAATAGCTCTCCGAACTCCACCATCTCCAACAATAGTAACGATGGCTTCGGGGGACTCATGTCCTTCGCCAGTGAGTGGCCAGCTTAACATCACCTCTATTCATTCCTTAGTAGCTCATGCTCCCGTTGCAAAATTGGACATAAAAATACTAAAAACGCAAATGAACAAATCTTTTTTGAAGATATTTGCTTGGATTTCTGACTTGACTTTTGTCTTGTCAGAAGAACTTTATAGAAGAAATTGAAGAAATTATTGAGAAATATGTGAAGGTTACATGGCATCCTACTTTTCAAAAGCGTGGTATCTGTAAGATTTTTTTCACATAAAAGAAATTTATACTTTTATTCGGTATTTTATGACATGATTACTGAAGGATCATGTGACACTGAAGACTGGAGTAATGGCTGCTGAAAATTCAGCTTTGTCATCATAGGACTAAATTACATTTAAAAATATTCAAATAGAAAACAGGTATTTTACGTTGTATAAATATACTGTTTACAAATACATGCAGATTTGAATAGTTTATGAGCCTTCTTTCATAAACATGAAAACATCTTACCGATCCCAAACCTTTGAACAGTAATGTATATTAATATTTATAAATAAGAGTATCTTCAGTAGCATATTGGCTTTTACTGGAGACTAACTAGGACACTGGACTAAATTTCTGCTATTTTTACAACTCGATTACACACAAACGTGTGGTTCCCTGTTGTACATTTCTCCTGAATCGCATATGTGCAGGTAACCTGTATAAAAACCACGGCACCAGTTTCAGTCTCTCCAGTCTGGCTCTGCCTAATAAAGCGCGAGAGAAGAACACACCGTTCCCCAGCCTCAAAGGTACACGCATCCCCTCGGATCTCTCCATGTGACCTTCCCGTTCATCCACCCATATGCTCACCCTGTCTCATTCCTCCAGTCTAGTCGTTATCTTCTTCCTCTCCTTCTCTCCAAACCTTTTTGTCTTTTCTAAGGCAGTGTAACTAATGCTTGAATCACTCCAATTAGTCTGAACTTGTATATTAACTCCACTGAAGTAATTTATGAGTCAAATAAGGGTCAAAGTAGTTGTATTATAATTAGACAATAATAATTCATTTTTAAGAATCTGTAGTTTAAAGCATTTTTTTTGTGAACGAGATTAGTCTGTTTAGTACAGGCATTAGGTATAGAAAGACTCCAACCTCAGCTGTTAAAAAGTGAGGAATACTTATTTACTTAAGTTGACTAGTTTTCATTTTTCCACTTTTTTCCTCTTCTTCCTTTATAATTTGTTTTATGTATTTCATTTAAAGAATATTTTAATTTTGATTTAACAGAGGACACGGATCAAGGTTTGTGGGAATGTTACCTGATTTCTTTTCCCCCAAGTGTTATCCAGTGTTGCTGCCCTGAAAGTGACGAGTATCATGCCTCCTCTTTGCTCCGAAAAGAAACTGAATAAGTGGAAAATGGTGGAGTAGACTAGGGCTGGAACTAACGATTATTTTTCAATCGATCAATCTATTGATTTACCTCATGGTACTATTTATGACAAAAGATAAGGTTTGCAGCTTAATTTCCTAATTAGGAAATGTGTTAACTATGGCTGCGTTCACGGTCACTTTTTTGGAATTTACTGCAGCAATTGCTTACAAGTGTCAATCCTGAAATGTTTTGTTCATTCAGGAGATTAAAGTAGCTGCTTGAATATGTTCATTCAGCTGTATGATGATCAAACAGCTGAAGTCACAACCGCATTCTACACCGGACGCGATGCGCCTCGACAAAAGACAGTATAACCCATTATAATCAGTGATGTTGTCTACGCGACGCGACACAACAGTAATCTGGTCGTTCTATTTACGACGTAGCTACTCCAAGCACTTGTGATGACAAATGGATTTGCAATGGCTGCTTTGTCGCGTCCAGAGTAGCTATTGCGGCGCAATGGTTACCATAGATGAACTCGCGCCTCGATTGGACTTTAATTTATTAACGTGCTGTCAACCTTTGTAAAACTTGACGGTTTTATGGACACCGCCGAGTCCAATCGAGGCGCGAGTTCATCCATTACATATTTTAAATCAACAACAATGCGTTAAATGTATTGTAACCGCCGGTTGCAGAGAGTAGGCTACGTTTGAGCCGCACGTCTCACACCCATTGTACACTTAAGTTACGCTGTCTTCTCGTTGTTTTGAAGTAGGAGAGCCCCGGGATGTTTTCTTTTCAGAGGCTCCTGCATAGAAGTGCTGTGGTTTGCCATTTCAATTTTACAGATTTTATTTGGTCTCTTTAAAAAATTCCCTCTTTAGATATTTTTTGTAATAACGGCTGATTTTCAGCATGTCCAGAGTAGCAGCTGCTATCATTCAGGAACATAAACAGCGCAACAAATCGCCGCATTCCACGCAATTCGACTAATTTATAATCGATTACGTTGACTCGTCGTTCCAGCCTTAGCCAGCACTAGACATATAGTCACTTTCTAAGCTAGCAACCAAGATTCTTTTTTATTGATGTTGTTGTTATTGTTGACTTTATTTTCTGTTTGTTTATTATTTTGGATGATGTTGTGTTGCTCAGACGATGGTGATGACAGTCCTGAAAGTCCTGGTATGTTTCATATCTGTAGTTTGCCCTAACGAGAAAACAAATTGCTGTTTATAGAGTAATATGGACCCTATGAGTCCTGAGAGAATGAGAAACTCTGCCCACTTTTCTCACTCTGAACCTGACTGACAGACTTGCATTGGTTTCTAACTCCTGTCCTTGATGCTTCCTTTTACACCCTTGAATCTGAACTAAACACCAAACAGCACTTGTCATCAACTGATAATGTCTGCTATTTCAGGGTTGGAAAATAAAATCTCATGGGACAGCAGTTTGGAACCTCTAAGATGGGGGATATATCTGTGCTCACATATATCCGCTATTCCTTTCCTCCTTTCCTCCTTTCCTACTCCGTGATTGTTAGTAATGAACATTTTAATGGTGGCACACTTTTTAGTAGACAACAGCCAGCTCATGGTTACATTTCAAAACATTTTTCTTTCTATACAGAAAAGATTTCTCTGTAGCATCTGAATGATACAATTTTTGACTGCTCTTTGTGTTGTGTGTGGTGTGTTTTTGAAGTGATCTTTCCTTTATATGTGTGTCACCACAATTGGAAACAGAGTTGAGGTCTGTTCCATTTCAATTTCACCTGAGCTCCCTGGGTGAATTGAAGATAACAAAACCACAATGGGAGAAGTGCAGTCACTCAGTACATTTCAAGCTCTGATCAGGTTCAGAACTGAAATGTAGTTTCCACTAAACTTGGATGGTGAATTTCCACCAAAGTCTCAGTAAAGAAGACTTTGAAGTCTGGTGTTTGTGGTGTTTTAAAATAAATCGATGATATGTCAAGGATTGTAGCTTGCATGCACAGAAAGTGTGCAGTTTTAAGCAGAGAATAGCAATGCTGCTTTTAGAGCCGGGTACAGGAGAAAACCAATAGATCACTGCAGGAGACGAAACCACACTGCATTCCAGCTTGCATGTCGACTGGTAATGATTTTTTTCTTTTACTGTTCAGTGAACACAAACATACCCCTTTTCACTGTCAAAACAGAGGAACAACAAATGGCCATCTCTAGTGTCTCTATTGAGCAAACAATCCCTCTAGTCTAGCAGTTGCATCGTGTCAATTTGAAGAATGTGCTCTTGGCCTTTTTTCCTTCAACTTGGGTTTTATTTGTCGACTGGATTTGGAGGTATGGACATTAGCACTTGATGAATGCAAGCTTGCGGTTTATTGTGGAGGGGAGGGGTTTAAGTGGACTAAATTATTAGAGAGATGTTTTTTCACAGAAAGATCAGGTTATGACATTTTAGATTAAACATGATGAGGTCAAAAAAAGGGAAAAAAAGAAACATAGGCATACATTATTTATTCATTGTAATATGTAGAATATGCATTTACAAATTAGATTTTCATTGCATGCTGACTTAAAAAAAAAAAATTATGAAATGAATCGCACGTTACATCTTTTTTAAAAGCACTACGCAGTTATTTATGGCTGAAACATTCTATTATTAAATTCTAATATTAATAATTCTGTTTATTATATCCAATAGTTTTTGCTCGTTTTATGAATGGAGTTTTGTAGAACTGCTTCATTCTCTCATTAATCACATGTAATCATAGTTAATCAAGACCTTCCGAATCACAAGATATTCTGACTAAATGTAAGTCTGGAATGCTCAACTAAAATACTTATCTTTTTCTGAATTCTGCCTTTCTCTTATTTCTCTCTCTCTCTCTCTCTCTCTCTCTCTCTCTCTTTCTTTTTCATATTCCATGCTCTCTGCTGGTTTTCTCTGTTGTTATATGTACATGTGTTCGACGCTTGTGGTTGTGGGTTGATGTTTGGACTGGTTCTGTCTGGGCCGGTTTTGTTCTCTGTCCCCTCTTTGACCCCCTGCACTAATTCTGGCTTCTGTGTCCAGTATTTGGGCTAAATTCTCTTATGGAGATTGTAACAGAGATCGGCCCGGGGAGCGGAGAAGGTGGGTTCCACCCTTTGCTGCGTGAGCTGCATGCTTCTCCAAAGCCAGTCAGCTACATCTCCCAGCATCCTGTTCCACCATTGCTTCCTCATTCCTCACCTTTGACTGTCACCTTTTGTTGGATGTCAGTCACTGTGATTGTAACCGTTTGACTCTTTTGTTCACATGCATCATGTCTTCTGTTGATGGACTGGGCCTGTAGAATAGGACTGCTGTTATGTCATATAGAGAGATTGATGATGTCTGTGAAACTTAGGATCAGACTATAGGATCATATATACAGTATATGACCAGATAGTGAAGGAAAAGCCAAAAAGTATTCACAATACTGCTGTGATACTGCTTAAATAGTATCTCATGATGTTTGTTGAGGGAATGTCCAGAATGTGCAGATCTGTAATCTATGCAGAATAAGCAGAACATGGCTGCTTTGACCGTATTTTATTTATTTGAAAATGAATGTGCTGATTTTATGAAAGAATGTGCAATTAACTGGTCTTTATCGCACTTTAATAACCTATTGACTGTACATAATAGTTTGGGGTTTGTAAGTCTCTTATGCTCACCAAGGCTGTATTTATTTAATCAAAAATACAATAAATAAAGTATATTTAAATACAGTAAATATAGTAATATTGTGAGATATTACAATTTAGAGTAACTTATTGCAAGTTAGTAATAATTACTATAAGATTATAATTTAATTACAGCTTATTACAAAAAAAGGTTACCGGTAGTTTATCTCTCAAGGTGTCCTTGTTACAGTGTAATTATACAACATGTACTTACTAGGGTTTGGATTGAGTTTGGTTTAGGGTTATGCATGTAACTATGCATAATTTATAGTAATTACTATAGAAATTACATGTAAACTGTAACAATGACACTAAAATAAAGTGTTACCCAAAAATTATTGCAATTTAGAGTTACTGGTTTCTTTTTTAATTTATTTGTTAAAATGTAATTAATTCCTGTGATGGCAAAGATGAATTTTCAGAAATTCCTTCAGAAATCTTCATTTTAGATCTTTCAGAAATCATTCAGGAAACTCAAAGATTTGTTATTATCATTGTTGAAAGCACTTGTGCCAATTCATATTTTTGTAACCGTTCGACATTTTCAGGATATTTTGATGAATAGAAAGAAAGAAAGACATTTATTTTATAACATTATAATTGTGTTTTACGGTTACATTTGATTAATTTAATGCATCCTTGCTGGCCTCAAACTTTTGAACTGTAGAATATACAGTATATAAAGCACATATACTAGTTATATGATTTATTATGAGGTGTAATGCAGCTTATCACAGTAGAGCCGCAGTGCACTGAGCCACGTGAATGATTAGCTGTCCACTGGATATTCAGCATAGATAGTTTATCTCATTAAATAACAATGGTATTCTCTGTTTTAAATGACTCATCCTCCTAGCAGGCTTCAAAACGCAATTCATGCATTTGGTTTTACTTCTATAAATTGTTTCAAAATGCCTCTTTGGCAAGTTTGTAACAGCATATAGTTATTCATTGTGTGGCATTTAAGTCTTGTCTAAAAATATTTCCTGGCCCAATCTAACATGTAATCTGCCACGCAGTGTGAAATGTGTGTGAACATGGCCGTCTGTTAATGCCCTTGTATGTAGCACAAGCCATCAATGCACTGGCTGTGCTTTATGCATGTGAATCTTCAGATCTATGCACAGAGGCTGGATACACACACTGAATTGCTTTGTGTGTGTTAGTGTATGTGCTGTTGCCGTACACTCACAGCTACAGGAAGTGTGTGTTGAATGATCATCTAAACTGAGAGGGCTTATTTCATTATTTTTGTTGTGTTGTTTCTTGTTGCCATCCAGTCTGTTTCTCACTCACACATTCTTCCACTCATTTTTCTCACTCTGTTCTTTGCCTGTATGTGTGTGTTTGCACCAACCAGTGTCATTGCTCCTGTACTGTAGTTCTCCTTACTGCTCCAGTCCTTGAGTCGCCCGCTGTCAACGTTCGCGTCTTTAGTCATGTAATACGCCCCATACTGCAGTGTCCAAAATACTGAGGTGCAAAGGAAAATCTGCAAGTTTCAAGTTAAAAGCTGTGTGTGTTGTCCTTTACTTCTATTGATTCTATACTATTACCAGACACAAGATTAAAACATCTGTGTAGGGGCCTGAGACTGCATTGTGTGTCTTAATGCCGTAGTCATTGTGTTTCTGCTGAGGTGGTTAGATGTGTGTTTTCAAGTGATGTGAATTTTTAACTAAAGATTTAAAATGAATTCACTCTTTTGTGTGTGAGTGAGTGTGGAGTGGGGGGTGTTATTATTGACACATGGAACCTGCTTCTGTGTGACAGGCATACATGCATACATACATACATATAAGGTCTATATCCAGTCTGACAAAGTGAATGTTCTGTTATAGGGGCACGAGCTCCCAGAGCGCTGGTAGATCAGAAATCCTCTGTTATTAAGCACAGCCCCACCGTCAAGAGAGAGTCTCCATCTCCTCAGGGCAGAGCCAACAACACCAGGTACTGCATATTTCTTCATTTATGCACTTTTATCCAAATTAGACAGATACAAGCAGATGTGATTAATCCAAATGAAAAAAGTTGTAAGAGTAGTGCTACCATACTTATGGTAGGGGGTAATTATGATAAATATTTTTTCAGGACTCTTTGATGAATAGAAAGTTCGGTAACACTTTAGTTTAGGGTTCAATTCTCACTATTAACTAGTTGCTCATGCATATTACTAGGATATTGGCTGTATATTAGTACTTAAAGCACATATTAATGCTTTATTCTGCATGACCTTATTCTACATCCCTTAATCCTACCCAATACATAAAAACTTAACTACCACCTTACTAAGTATTAATAAGCAGCAATTAGGAGTTTATTGAAGGGAAAGTCATAGTTAATAGTGAGAACTGGACCCTAATCTAAAGTGTGACCGTAAGTTCAAAAGATCATCATTTATTTGAAATAGAAATATTTTTAACATCATTGACACTTTTGATCAATTTAATGCATTACTTTGAGGTCAGTAAAATGTTTGAATGGTAGTGTATGTAGACTCACGTGCCACTTTATTAGGTATACCTTCAGAACTTTCTTAAATCTTTGTGGCATAGATTATTTTTGTCCATATTGACATGATAGCATCACGCAGTTGCTGCAGATTTGTCGGCTGCACATCCATGATGTGAATCTCCTGTTCCACCACATCCCAAAGGTGCTCTATTGGATTGAGATCTGGTGACTGTGAAGGCCATTGAGTATAGTGAACTCATTGTCATGTTCACTAAGCCAATTTGAGATGAATTGAGCTTTGTGACATGGCATGTTATCCTGTTAGAAGTAGCCATTAGAAGATGGGTATGGTCACTGTGGTCATAAAGGGATGGACATGGTCAGCAACAATACTCAGGAAGGCTGTGGTGTTTAAACGATGCTCAGTTGGTACTAAGGAGCCCAAAGTGTGCCAAGAAAATACCCTCCACACCATTACACTACCACCACCACCAGCCTGAACCGTTGATACAAGGCAAGATGGATCCATGCTTTCATGTTGTTTACTCCAAATTCTGACTCTAGCATCTGAATGTCGCAGCAGAAATCGAGACTCATCAGACCAGGCAACGTTTTTCCAGGCTTCTATTGCCCAATTTTGGTGAGCCTGTGTGAATTGTAGGCTTAGTTTCCTGTTCTTAGCTGACAGGAGTAGCACCTGGTGTGATCATCTGCTACTGTAATCCATCTGCTTCAAGGTTCGACATGTTCGACATTCAGAGATGCTCTTCTACAGACCTTGGTTTTATCGAGTGGTTATTTGATTAACTGTTGCCTTTCTATCAGCGTAAACCAGTCTGGCCATTCTCCTCTGACCTCTGGCATTTGTCACCAACCGAAATACCACTCACTGGATATTTTCTCTATTTTTGGACCAATCCTAAAAATTGTTGTGTGTGAAAATCCTAGGATATGAGCAGTTTCTTTTGAGTGCCTATGAAGTGAATATGTGGCTCTTGCTCCAGTAAACCTGGTCTTTTATGCTGTGCAGTGAGAACCAGCAGTTTCTTAAGGAGGTGGTCCAGAGCGTGCTTGATGGGCAGGGTGTGGGCTGGCTCAACATGAAGAAGGTACGCCGCCTGCTAGAGAACGAACAGCTGCGCGTCTTTGTGCTGAGTAAACTCAACCGTGCTGTCCAATCAGAGGAAGACGCTCAGCAGGAAGTTATAAGAGATGTGGTGAGTTAGAAATGACGAGTCAAACGAGTTGATGCTGACCTAAAGCAAAACTTTTACTTATGTTTTGTTTATTATATCTTTTTGTGTGCCTATACGTATAGGAGATAAACAGGAAAGTGTACAAAGGCATGTTGGACCTACTGAAGTGCACCGTGTCCAGTTTGGAGCACTCTTACACTAATGCTGGCCTGGGAGGCATGGCCAGCGTCTTCAGTCTTCTAGAGATAGCGCGCACCCACTACCAAACCAAAGGTAACCTTCATTTGAATGTCCAAATTAAGAAAAAATCTTAATGTTTAGCATTAAACGTGGTTTCTGCCTGAAGTCAGACCAATAGATATATACCAACACAAAGAGTTTCCACTTTCTAGAAGGTTCTTGTTCCTCTTCTTCACAGCCATGTGCAGCTTGGTGTCAGTCACTCTACAAGCTATTTACATAATCTTGGGTTTCAGCCTTTTTTCCATATTTGTTTAGAGAAATCACCTGTAACCTACCTTTAAATTTTACTTCTATCCCTTTGTCTCCATGTGTATTTGCTATTTCCTCTTCTTTCTATTTCCCTGCTCTATTTCCTCTGTGCCTGCTTGTGGCTCACAGACCTAGACAAGCGGAAACGGAGCCCCACAGAGGGGATTAACAGCCCAGGCAGTAAGGAGAGCCCATCAGGCCGAATGGAGAGTGCCAGGGCGGCAGGCGTGCTCCTGGTACCCCGTATACAATTGCCACCACCCTCCTCTGGGAAATCGCCACGGCAGTTTGATACACGAAGTCTGAACGAAGAGAATTTTATTGCCTCCATTGGTGTGTAAACAGCAGTCCTCATTGCATGCTCCCCCCCCCCCCCTCTCGCTGCTTGTTATGTTCCCTGAGCTCTCTGGGGGCCACGTGTCCCTTAGGGCCGCTTCCTCTATTTCATTAACTGTCTACACTGACTTTGTGCCAAAACTTAAGAACCACAATGGCTCAAGTGTTCCCTCACCTGAAAATTTTAATTCTGTCATAATTTACTCATCCTCATGTCATTCCAAACCTGTATGACTTTCTTTCATCTGCAGAACAAAAAAAAAAAGATTGACAAAACATTGACCCCATTGAGCTTTAATGTATGGACAAAAAAAACCATTAAGACTTATTTTAGACTATCTACTTTTCTGTTCCACAGAAGAAATAAAGTCACACAGATTTGCAACGACTTGAGGGTAATTACGTAAATAATGACAGAATTTCATTTTTGAGTGAACTCATACATTATAGTATGAGTGATCCTTCCAAAAACATTGACAACTTCTGCAGTTCTGTAGCTTTTGGAGCCAACAAATATTTTAAGGGGGCATTGGTTGGTGTAGACGCATTACTGGAATATTGTGATGCATATGAACCTAATTTACGTAGACAACTTCCGGAATGTTCAACGTGTGTTTTTTCAAATCCTGTTTGCCAGTCCCGACTCACCTTAAATCCATTAGATGCATGTTAGTGAAAGACTCTATGTAGCCGAGAGTGAAATAGTGGGACGGTGAAGGTCTTGGACTGTACCACTACTCTCTATAAAAGGGTCCTGAGCTGTTGTTTCCCCTGTTAACAGTCCTATGATGATCCGTAAAGCTAACTGCAGACACCTGCTTCCATTTGAAACGCCTGGAGTGGCTTGTGGATTTTTAGGCCCAGGCCTCTGATTGGCGGTCATATCTGGGTCTGTGTACAGGGGATCGTCCACCACCCCCTTTCCAAACCCCAACCCTCATTACCTTGCCTTGTCTGTCCTTCGGTAATAATGCACCTGCAATTCTACGGAATGTCTTTGAGACTGCACGCCCTGCTTTTGCTACACCTCATTTCACTCACCAGCTGAGGCTGATTTGTCGTTCTCATCTCACGCCTTTTGCACCTCCCAGACCATCCACCCTCACCTTGGAGAGCCATTGCCCATTATGGATGACAAGAATGGGGAAAGAAAACCAAGGCATGAGGCTGATTTTGTGTGAAATCCATCATTTTGGCTCTTCAGGAACAGGGTTGCAGAGCTTAGGATGTTTTGTAATGGGACCCCACTAGATTTAAACGATTGGATAGTTTTACATGACATCAGATCCTTCATTTAGATTGCATATGGCTATGTGAACATTGCAAAACATCCTTACATTTTGGAAAATGAGACTTTGCACTTGATCCGTTTTATTTATTGTTTTTATTATTATTATTATTTTTCTCTTAAAAACAGCTCATCCTCCATATCTGACAACTCAACCGGCTCTCTGATTCTCTCTCTGTCTTTCTCTCCTTGCTTGCAATGCATCTTGGGTAGAATTGTGGAGCAAGCACCAGGATAACAGAAAGCAAAAAGCTTTGGAAAAAGAACAGAGTAAGATCACTTCCCTAAGCACCCAATTAGACTTTCCTTTGCAGAACTGCAAAACAGGGACTCTGTCCTTCTACCTGCACCAGTCCTCTTCCCTTAAACCACTTTCTATTGTGGGTAGAAACAGAATCTGCCCCCCAAATACTCAACTACTTCTCAAAAAGCCCATTTAGACATGTGGCCCAAACATTTTGTCAAGGAAGGTATATATACTGTTCATAGGTATATAGATGCAAAGTTAAAATGGTGATCCACCCAAAGTCAATTTTCAGGTATAAAATAAGCCCTGTACATATTGAAATGGAATCAATATTTGGGCCAATATTTCTAAGTGTGCAAATCTTACTCTTGACTAGGGATGTGCATTTTGGTTATTTTGACTGCTTGAGTACTTGACACTGACAGATATTGAGTACTTGTGTCAGAAAGTCTTTTTTTGCAAATATATCGCATCTTAGTGTTTTTTTTGTGTCTCACTCAGTGTTTTTATGATTTGAGTAATTTTTTAAAAAAAAATTACTCGTTTAAAATAGTTCTTGACCCCTGGGCTAGAATGCGTTTCTGTGTAAACACAGTGTTCTAAGCGGCGTTTCTCACTTGGACAAAGTCAAGACTCTGCAGTCCGATTGCTTTGATTTGAAGGCACCTATACACAAAGTACCACCTGATTTTCTGTTTTAACCAATCACAAAACAATCATTATTAATCAATGCTATCACTTCCCAGTACTCAGTTACTCATGCCCATTCCTACTCTTGACTGGTTTGCTCTGTGTCATTTCTTTAAAGCATTCACATTTTTCGACCATGATTAAGTAGATTTATCTCACATGTACTTGGATTTTTTGGAGTTCCTACATTTAGTTTATTTTTTAATTCTTATCAGGTGGTATAAATAAATGATAATCAGGTTATTTTTTAGGAGATTTGTAGCATTTGTATTTGTTTTATTTTTCTTACAGTTACTTCTCAATGACTGTCTCTGAACAGAGGCATACATTGTCTTTGGTTTTCCACCTCATTTTACTTATACTTACTATATTTTGATGCAAGTATGTGATGTGAGATAAACTACAATCATGCCAGATTTCAGTTACTTGTTTCAGTCGAGTATTAAAAGAGTTTCAAAGATCACATGCATTCTGTTTCACTTGGCTAATTTTACAGTGGAAGATTTGGAGTACCGCTAAAGTGTTATTTTTTAGGCCTTGATGCCTCGTACAGTGTAATCAGTTGTAACCAAGTTGGGGTTTGCGAGCACAATATAGGTTTCTTCATTTTAGAAGCAGTGAGTGCGCTAGTAGCATCTGAAGCTTCCTCCTGTTCGATTAGTTGACTGTGTTTGCCTGCATGTGTGACTGCTTTTGTCTAGCATTACTGTGAGTGAACTGATCTGGCCCACTGTCAGCTGATGTGCTTCTGTGAGTTTCCCCAATATGACCCCAAGCATTATTTGTTTCTGTCTGTCTGCTCAGCATAGTCTGGCATAGTGGTAGCCGGCTGAAATGGCATTATTCCCCACGGTGAAACCGATAACTTTCATGTCGCTCTGTAGAACAGAGATGGCTTCAGCTCACTGTTAGTCATGTGACGTCCCAGAATGCAGAGCAGAGAGTTAATGGATGGAAGAGCTGATTGTATGTTTTCTACAGGGGCCGATGGAGCAAAACAGCGCCTAGAAGGTGGAGACACTGATGAAAAGAAATCACAGATCAGTGCTGACAGTGGCCTCAGTGTGACATCTGGCTCACAGGTTGGTGTTAACCTAATATCACAATATAAATCTAATATAAATCTTTAAACATTTGACTGTTTTATTTTATTTTGAAGTTGAATGCATGGAAATATAGTACCTATGCATACTATTTCGTCTATGTTCTTCATGCTTATCCCTTCTCCAGAAGAGTGATACAGAGTCCCTGGCGAGCTCCGAGCCTCCTGCTCTGACGAGAAGCAACAGTCAGGACTCAGAGGCTAGCACAGTGGTAGGGCACGGCCAATACTGAGACACTGCCACCCTTTTCCCTTTGATACACTTCTGTATATCCAAATTATATGTAGTTTGACAGTTCTCTTACAGCTTTTACGGTCTTGTTATTTCTTTCTTTATTTCTTGCATTATTGACAAGTTTGTTACTTTCTGTTTGTGCTTATAGATAGTTCAATTGAAAATGAAAATTGTGTCATCATTTACTCCCCACCCCGCCCCCATTCATTCTAACCGTTTGGCAATTTTCTTTCTTCTATAGACCACAGAATGAGATTTTAGGCAGAATGGTCTCACTGACCATAAAAGTAGTCAATACGACTCATACACTCTATTCCATGTGTTCTGAATGTAATACTATTTTCTGTTAATAAATTATGTAGGTTTCAGTCTGCTCGGTACACAAAGCTGTTGTGTAGTTTCAAAAGACATGGAATACAGCTCAAGCTTTCATTTTATACACTACCATTCAAAAGTTTGGGATCAGTCATTTTTTTCTTATACTTTCATTCAGAAAGGATGCATTAAATTGATCAAAAGTGACATGTAAAAACATGTATAATGTTACTAAAGATTTTGGTATCAAATAAATGCTGTTCTTTTGAACTTTCTTTTCATCATAGAATCCTGAAAAACCATGGTTTCCACAGAAATATTAAGCAGAACTACTATTTTCAATATTGATAATCAGCATATTAGAATGATTTCTGAAAGATCGTGTGAAACCGAAGACTGGAGTAGCCTAATGATGAAAATTCAGCTTTGCTATCACAGGATACATTTTAAAATATAATATATATTATAAAATAGAAAAGTTATTTTAAATTGTAATAATTTTTCACAATATTACTGTTTATATTTCATTTTCGATCAAATAAATGCAGCCTTGGTGAGACTTCTTTAAAAAAAAAACAAAAAAAAAAACTTACCTACCCCAAACATTGGAACAGTAGTGTAAAAATTTTAGTTTTGTTTCACAGAAAAAAAAATTCATACAGATTAAATATATATATGTATTTCTCTTTTTTCTTTATCCCTTTAAGAAGTCATAAAATCTCTCTTGTTTGCTGTACTATTGCTGATCTCTGACTTTGGATCTGTAGGTGAGTAACAGCTCAGGTGAAACACTGGGTGCGGACAGCGACCTGAGCAGCACTGCTGGAGACGGCCAGACAGGAAGACATGCTCAACATCTCAACCTGTCCCGTGGCACACTGTCCGACAGCGAGATTGAGACCAACCCTGCGACCAGCTCTGTGTTTGTGAGCATCTCTTGCATATCCTTATCCACAGGCTTAGTTGCAGTCATCCTCACTGTCAAAACTGCATGCGTCTTGTGGAAGAACATTGTAGCCGGAACTACTTCTCTCTGTTTATGGATATGACGAGTCACTCAGGTTACTCCGCAGCGTTTGTCATCGTGCTGGTGTAAAATATAGGCATGCCGTAGTAATTTATGATAAGGCAAAAATACAGTTTGGAAGATGGATTCATGATGTACTCGCTTATTATATCATTTTTTTTACATTTTGCACAAAACAAGTTACATTGTGTACCTTTTAAAGACCAAACAAATTCCAACTGACCATGTGGCAACAAATAAAATAGTGGATATATGAAATATATATTTGAATATTTGTTTATATATACTGCTGTCTAATGGCTGAACAAACAAATGTGTCTTTGCTGAATAAAAGCATTAATTTCTTACCCCAAACATTTAAACGGTTGTTTCTCATATAGGGCAAGACCCATATGCTGAAGCCAGGAGTGAAGGGACCTGTTAGTGTCAATAAGGGAGCACCAGCACCGCCCCTTGAGGATGTTAGCATGAGGATCTACCTGTGTGAGGGGCTGCTGGGTAAGAGTCAATCTTCCTCCTTAATCCATTCAGCATTCATTTCCTTTCATTCATTTTGTTTGTTCTCGCACTTTTTCTTTTTCTTTTCTTCTTCCATGTCCTTACTCACTGCTTTAGTAATCAGCTCTGGTGTATTTTTCAATGTCCATGTTAATTCAGAATTATGAGGTATTTCCAAAAGTTGTCTCTGTTTGCTTTCCATAACCTTAATGTTTAAAAAATGTAAAAACATGTCCGCTGCACAGAACAATCCTTTATTACTGTCTAGATTCTGTTTGCAACAGTTTATTCTGTAAACCATGCTTACATACTGACCACTACAGCTTCTCTGTTAATTTGTTCCAAATAAGTCCTTGTATTAACCAGCATGTGATGAATTATTGGTTTGAATATCCCTTACAGCACACAGCTTTGCTTCTAATACTCTAACACTTTCTTTACCTCCTGTACTGCGGCCTCCTCTTTTCCCCCCTCTCTCTCCCCTTTTTCTTTTTTCTCCTCCCATTTAATGCCACGAAGGGCGAGATAAAAGCTCAGTTTGGGACCAACTGGAGGATGCTGCCATGGAAACCTTTTCTCTGAGTATGGATAAACTGTGACCTTTGACATTTTGGATGTGTATATTTTGGTATTGTAGTATTAGACACTACATGCCTTCCCTCACATCTATACTATGACTGTGTGTTTAAGCCTTGTATGGAGCATGTAGGGTGTTTGTTTGGTTTATTATAAATATTTGAATGTATTGCTGTGTGCATGGTATTATTTGCAATTTTGCATGAATGTATGGTCCATTTTTGGTGCTTGTACCTGACATTTGATAAGAGAATTAAAATACACACAGCAGACAGATCAGATGAGCCAATTTTATTTTGTAATTGAATGTGTTTGTGTAAAATTGAGGGGTGATAAAAGCTGCTTGAGAGAATGTGAATGTTGAAACAATAAGCAGATGTATGGAGGCGTGTGTTAACTCTGTGTTAAAATTAATTTGATAAGGTTTGATAGCAAGCTCTATTTATTACAGCATGCTGTGTAGTTGCTTTGGCTTAGCTTGAACTATCTGTGTGTTCATTTTTGTGGGGTTTTATGTGTAATATCCAAATCATTTTAGTTTTTGTCTTTATGGTTTTGAACATCTGACATTTACCTTAAAGGGATACTCCACCCAAAAATGAAAATTCTGTCATCATTTACTCACCTTCAAGTTGTTGCAAACCTGTATGAGTTTCTTTCTTCTGCTGAACACAAAGGAAGATATTTTGAAGAACTATTGGAACCAAACAGTTGTGGGGCACCATTGACTTCCATAGTAGAAATACTATGGAAGTCAATGGTGCCAAACAACAAAATATCTTCCTTTGTGTTCAGCAGAAGAAAGAAACTCATACAGGTTTGCAACAACTTGAAGGTGAGTAAATGATGACAGAATTTTCATTTTTGGGTGGAGTATCCCTTTAATAAATGTTCATGCTGGCATGTTGAGTTGAGTTGAAATATTGTTTTATTCAAGTTAAGAGTTAAAATGTGTGTGTATGTGTAGGTAAGGAGCGCTCTACTCTGTGGGATCAGGTGCAGTTCTGGGAGGATGCCTACTTGGATGCCGTAATGTTGGAACGGGAAGGAATGGGGATGGATCAGGGACCACAAGAAATGATTGACAGGTTAGTGTGTTCCGTAAGTGTTCACATTGATTCGAAAGCAATAAAAACAACACAAAATAGGTAAAAAGCTAGCCCAACATCAGCATTCAGAATTGTCTGATTTGAAAAGTATACATACAGTACCTCAATGAAAGCACAATGCATACTGGTTGTTCACTCTGACACTGCTTAAATGTTTTTCATATGTTCCACTCTACAAAATGACAACATTTTGCAATGGTTTGAATGAGCTTTAAGCTACCGGTATAAGCTTTTTGGTCATGCTAGGATTCAGATGTAAACTGTGCTGTTGTATTTTGAGTACGCTGTCCAAACATGACTGTGCTGTGGTCTATCAGATATCTGTCTCTGGGAGATCATGACCGCAAGAGACTGGAGGACGATGAGGACAGACTACTGTCCACTCTCCTGCACAACATGATCGCCTACATGCTTATGATGAAGGTACACACAAACACTCACTCTCATTCCTTCGAATATACTTGAATCAATATGGACATTAGTGAACAGTTTGGGGTAAGAAATCAATGCTTTTATTCAACCGAATGATTACATTTTAATCAAATTTTTGTTGTAAAGAAATAAAAACTTGTATTCACCAAGGACGCATTAATTTGATCAAAAGTCCCTGTAAAGAAATTTAAATAAAAAAATATTTAAAACAAATGTTTTTTTTTTTTAACTTTCTTTTCAACAAAGAATCCTGAACAAAGAGTACATGATTTTTACTCAAATATCAAGCACCATAATTGTTTTCAACATTAATAAAAATAAGAAAAGTTTCAAATCAGCAATGGTGTCTGTATAATCGTGTGACATTGAAGACTGGAGTAATGGCTGCTGAAAATTCAGCTTTGCCATCATAGGAATAAAATACATTTTGAACAACATTCAAAAACATGAATTAGCTTGCTGACCCCAAACTTTTGTTCGGTCATGTACTCAAACTATTACTGCTCCATTTATCTAGGTCAGTAAAAATGACATCAGGAAGAAGGTACGGCGTCTTATGGGGAAATCTCACATCGGCCTCACACACAGTCAGGAGGTCAATGAAGTCCTGGACCGCCTTGCAAATTTGGTAAGAGCCGGTCAGATGAAAAGTTGCAGCTGTTGCATGTAAGCCAGTAGCCGAACATATTATGATTAGGTTATGAGTGATTGACAGATTGTGTGTTTTGCTGCAGAGTGGCCGAGAGCTTTCCCTCAGGCCAAGTGGAAGCCGGCACATTAAGAAACAGACATTTGTTGTGCATGCTGGGACTGATACAACTGGTGACATATTTTTCATGGAGGTAGGAGTTTTGTGTGTCTGCATGCCTCCTTTTTTATTCTATTTAACTTGTCTGCATGAAAATATATTGTAAATGAGCATTCAGTCCTTCTTTCCTCTTCCTCGTGTGTGTTTAGGTGTGTGACGACTGCATCGTCTTGCGCAGTAACATTGGCACAGTCTATGAGCGCTGGTGGTATGAGAAGCTCATTAATATGACCTACTGTCCCAAGACCAAAGTGTTGTGTCTGTGGAGGAGGAACGGCCAAGAGACACAGCTTAACAAGTTCTACACCAAGAAGGTGAGACTCACATCAATGTAAAGGCATACTGTAGTACCCTCTCACTCTCAATTCACAGATTTTGTATTGTTTCTAGTGTAATTATGTCTCAATTACTGTACTTCACCTCTCTTTCTGTGTTTTTTGTGTTAAGTGTCGGGAACTATACTACTGTGTTAAAGACAGCATGGAGCGTGCTGCTGCACGACAACAAAGCATCAAACCAGGTACATTGTGTTTTTTGTACACTACACTTCAAAAAGTTTGGGGTTGGTAAGATAAAAAATGTATATATATATTGAAAGTCTTTTCGGTTACAAAAAAAACCCCCAGTAAAAACAGTATACTGTATATTGTGAACTACCACGATGTGTTACATTATTACAATAACTGTTTTGTGTGACGGCAAAGCTGAATATTCAGGAGCCATTACTCTTCAGTGTCACATGAGCCTTCAGAAATCTAATATGATAATATGATGTAATTTGTGCTGCTTAATATTTTTGTGGAAACCGTAATACATTGTTTTCACGATTCTTTGATGAATTATAAAGTTCAAAAGAACAGCATTTCTTTAAACTATAAATCTTTCGAAACATTATACATGCCTTTACTGTTATTTTTGATCAATTTTAATGTCTTTGCTGAATAAAGAGTATTAATTTTATTTAAACAAATCCTACTGACCCCAAATTTATTTGCACTGGTAGTGTATGTGTTTGTAGGGTAAATTTAGGTAAAATGGGCCCCTTTTTGACAGTCATCTTAATAAAAGTGGCCTAATTTACCTGAATTCACCCTTTTGTTTTTTTGTTTTTAAATATAAAGTCTTCTTGTTCGATTCAAATTTTTCCTGAAATTAGTCTCTTTGTGTGTGTGTGTGTGTGTGTGTGTGTGTGTGTGTGTGTGTGTAGGTCCAGAGCTGGGAGGTGAGTTTCCAGTTCAGGACATGAAGACAGGGGAGGGTGGTCTCCTTCAGGTCACGCTGGAAGGCATCAACCTCAAATTTATGCACAGCCAGGTAAGAGGTGTCGCCTTTATCGTAATCATGACAAAGTGCTTGCCAAATTCAGCACCAACCCTTCCTCTCATTCTCAATCCATTCATTCCCCTGTTTCTCTTTTCTGCCACTTCTTGTCTAAACTCATCTCGTCACCTCTCCATAGCTCTTCTCCTTCCTCTCACTCTTTCTATTTGTGCCTTCCTTCCTCTGAGAAGTTTTTTGGAACAACTCACAAAAAACATGGGCTAAATAATTAAATACACAGTCAAATCTAAACTCTAAAATCAATGAAAAGCTGGACGCTTTTAAAAAATGTCTGGAAGCGTTGTTCCTTAAGAATCTTTTAAGAGGAATAGCTGTTGTTGTTGTTGTCGTTGTTTTTTGGCTTTATTTGCTGGATGTTTGTTTTTGGGTTGCTTAATCACAAGCAGAGATTTACTTTTTTAAATGTCAGAACATTCCACCCGCTGTGTGTGTTAGTATGACGTGTTAATGGTCACAGCGCCCGGCTCTGGTCCTTACGGTTTGTGAGTGTTGGTGTGATGTCGGTTTGTTGTGGTGTGCCAGAGGTAAGATGTAGAACCTTGTGCAAAACATATTCAAAGTGGTCATGTACAAAATACATTAGTGGGGAGGTTTAAAAAAATACATTTCTTATTTAAAACCACTTTAGGGATGTTTAGTTGTATACTTGACCAAGTATTTAAAAAAAGCTTTAAATTGGTTCTAATGGGAGATAATCATGTAATAGTTCTTAATAAACCTGATTTTACTTGTGATTAAGACCATATGGCCTCCTTCTGGGACCTAATACCACTGTTCTGGGACCATTTAACCTGGTTAATTTGACACTAAGATATGCTGCTTTTCATAAAGCACATATGTAAAGACATTTCAAACGTATTTCTAAAAAACAAAAGTTTTCTTTTTGATTAGAAAAAACGCATATCCCAATAGTGAACTCCCTTAAGGCGAAAAGCAGTAGTTGCATAACGCTGATACTCTGGAAAAGACTGGAATGATTAGCAAACTATGTAAACCTTTTGTTCTATCTAACATACTAACTTTTTTTTAAACTGTTTTCCTAGGTCATAGTCTTCAGTTGCTGTAATTACCTAAAGGTATAGTTCTCCAAAAAAATGAAAATTCTCTCATCATTTTCTCACCCTCATGTCATTCCAAACCTTTATGACTTGCTTTCTTCTGTGCTACATGGAAGAAGATATTTTGATGAATGTTTGTAACCTAAGTTTCGGTTCCCATTGACCACACAATGGAAGTCGATGAAAACCCAAACAGTTTTTTGTATGTTCTTCAGAAAAATGAATGCATTCAGAATTTGGAATGATGTGAGGGTGAGTAAATGATGACAGAATTTGAATTGTTGGCTGAACTATCCCTTTTATATATCGTCATCATGATACATTGGTGCCTCTCTATGGTCAGAGTGCTAACAAGAGTTCAGCAGCATTGTTGAAAACTTTAAGAATCCTCTATGTAGTGTAGTTGTGTGTAGTAATGGTTTTGGCACTATTCTGTTTTGGCTGTAGGCATGTGTGAAGGGAGCTGGTCTTCGTTGCTGGTGGAGGAGGCATGGAGGGTAATGGGGTGGGAACACAACAGGGCTTCAAAACTAACGTAAACATAATGGCAGATATTAACAGTTAATGCAATATGACTGTTCTTTCTGGATGGAATCAGTGGTTGTAGTTTAATCCTGTAAGAGTGGGCTCGTAGCACCCGAGGGTGTTTTCTGCTCTTTTTGTCCAATAATAATCCAAACCGTTTCTCTCCCATGCTCTCTCCCCCTGCAAGGAGCGGAAGGTACACAACCTCTGCAGTCTGCTTTTTAGCGTAACATTGTCATTTACTTTTTCATTCTTTTCCTTGTTCTGTAGCTTTTCTGGCAGACATCACTCTTGTGTGCTTTTTTTTTTAATGTCTTTTGTATTGTTTTCTCTCTTTTTGGTTCCTTTTTGGTCTGTGTCATGCCTTTTTTCTTCTTTTTTTTTCTGATGATGGAATTTTCCATGGATGTCTTTGCATGGGCCCTTTCAGCACGTAGGGGATCAGTGCCATGATTTCGTTCCCACTTTTGGTGCGAATGTTCACAGCTGCAGGTTCATATTAGCTCTTTAGTGCTTCAAAAATACATTTGTTATACAAGTCTCCAGTGCCTCAAGAACACGTTATACTAAATATTGTAGACAAGTATTGTAAATACGAAGTGATTCTCTTTAAAGCGAGACTCTCTGAATACTTAGGCTGTTGACTTGATTCATTTAATAGAATTTAAAAATTACAAAAAAAAATATATATGGGCTTATTTGAACTCTCTAGGATATAAAGAGACCCATAAATGCCGCTCAGGCGTTGAAACTTTCACAGCTCTCTCCATTTGCGTCACTGGCCCATGTAATCCTGTCAACATGGAAATTTCTCTTTCTGTGCAGTCATATTTTAGTTTTGATAGTTTTTTAACAGCTTGCTTATCATGTTCTTTCTCCGTTTCTCCCTATTTTACAGTTACTAACTGTCCAGATTGTCATCTCTTCAAAAAATACTTTTTGTTTTGTTTTCTCACAAGTGTGTGATTGAGTTGGTAACAGTGTGTCCTGTTGTTTTTTTGTTTGTTTTTTGTTTGTTTTTAGGTTTTCATAGAGCTGAGTCACATTAAAAAGTGCAATACAGTGAAAGGAGTCTTTGTCCTGGAGGAGTTTGGTAATTACCCCCATTTTGATTCTAGGCCTGTACGCGACACAGCAGTAACTCAGTCACGTGCAGCGCAGAGAAGTTATCACGTTCAGTACTGTTAGATGTGGCGGTCAGAACGACATGTATGAGCTTCAGGAGCAGAGGTTATAGAAGACAGAAGTAGGATCATAGTTTTAGCTGTTGCTTCATTAATGCACCTTCTGGGATGAAATGTTACATAAAATGTGATACCTAAAAGGAGCAAGATCCTATAAGCCCGCAGAATCCTGTCCCCCTTGGACCCAAAACCATTTCATTGACTGACTGAGACGACTTTTTTAGACAACTATTCAGGCCTATTAATTATCAATCATGTTCATTACTGTTTTTTTAACTACATATAGGGATGCACAATATACCAGTACCATATCTGTTATTAGCCAATATTAGTTTTTTTATTATCATTATTTATCTGTCAGTTGTTGTGTATTTAATTGTTGTTCATTTCCTCTTTTTCATACTCTAAAAACTCAAATCAATCATTTTAGGGATTACTACATTATCATGTAGTGTAACTTTTCATTTATTTGATCAAATCCTATATCATTTTAATAACATCTAGTTATCGGTTTTAACAAGAAAACAAATATTACTATCTGTCAAAATCCCTATGTATCATTCACATATAACACTTTGTTACCACCAAAGCTAAAAACATTTCCCTTTATTAGCTAAAGCAAGTTATCAAGACAACACACTGATTTGATCAGGCCTGGAGGAAGGGGTAAAGGATTCTGCAAAGATCTTAAACGACAGCAGCAGCTTTGAGAAATAATGCACAGTTCCAGTTGTTCTGTGAATAATTCATTGATCAGCTTAGATTTAGATTGCAGTTGTTTCCTCAGATGCATCTTTTGGAAGGAGTCACAGTTTAATAAATCAAGAATATGGCTTTAATGTTTGTCATAGTCTTCAGAATAGAAGTCTTGGTAGAGTTTAGATAATTACTAAACCATGCAAAGATCATTTTAACTGGTTCTTTTGGAGATCTATATGAAGGGAGTTGTAGTGTATGAAATCTCTTCTGTAGCCATAGGGTCGGCTCTAGACTGGGTTAGTGCTGTGTCTTTGTGCTTCCTTTTTGTAATCCGCCCCTCATCTTTGCTGCTATGAAAACCTTCATTCTCCAGCAGGTAAAGTGCTGTCACCTTTATCTTTTCTTCTTCTCTTCCCTCACCTGTCCTCCTCATTTAACTCTCCATCTGTCATCATCTCTCATACACCCTCTTTCACCACTAATGGCTGTCGACTCCTCATCTGCACTGCACTGCCTTCATGTCAGATGTCGCTTCTCCTAAACTCGAGTTCATACACTCATGCCTGTAGTAAAAGTCATGCCAGTGATGGAAAAACCCAGCAGACCTCGGATTTCCTTCCAACTTCAACTTGCAATGAAATTCCCTCTCTTACTTTCTCTCTCTCTCTCTCTCTCTCGGATTTCTCCATCTATCCTTCACCTCTCTCACTCTTTCTTTCTCCTCTTCTTGAGCCTGCCTTGATTCAGTTCCCCATTGCATAAGAGTTTCTCAGCTGATGATAAATCCTGTTCAGTCATATGAACTATATGAGTGCTGCTCTTCTGCTACAAGATTCAGAGCTCTCTTGCTCCGTCTGAAATGTGGCAGGGCCAGAGATAGGTTATTAATAATCATTTGTCATGGGCTGTATCGTATGTATGCCTGCCTCCCCTCTTTTCTCTCTCTCTCTCTCTCTCTCTCTCTCTCTCTCTCTCTCTCTCTCTCTCTCTCTCTCTCTCTCTCTCTCTCTCTCTCTCTCTCTCTCTCTCTCTCTCTCTCTCTCTCTCTCTCTCTCTCTCTCTCTCTCTCTCTCTCTCTCTCTCTCTCTCTCTCTCTCTCTCTCTCTCTCTCTCTCTCTCTCTCTCTCGATCACTTTCTTTCTCTCTGTTTCCGTCCCTTGCCCTTGAATAATTCAAATTTGTTATTCCACTGCTGTTGAACTTTTTATTTTGTGTCTTGCACGGGATTTGCAGTTCCTGAAACTAAAGAAGTGGTGATCCATAAGTACAAGACTCCTATGGTAAGATTTCAGTATTCATACAATACTATGCACAGTAGGGCTGGGTATCGATACAGATTTTCAGATTCAATCCGATTCACAAGCTCTTAATTCAATTCTGAATCATTTTACGTATATTTTGGCCTATTTTGGTTGCATAGCAAACTAAAAACTATTTAATGATACAAGGACTGATTCAAACGGAAACCGTTTTTTTATCATTAAAATGAAAAAAAAAAAACATTAAATATTTTATTTGTTAATAGGGTAAGCTCATGTGAGTCATTTTTCATGAGTAGTCAAGTCACCTTTATTTGTATAGCACTTTATACAGTACAGATTGTTTTAAAGCAGCTTCACTGTGATTAACAGGATATAACAAACAATGCATCAAATACAGTATGAGACAAATTCAAATTCGGCTGTACAGAAGACAACTGTGTCATCATTATTCAGCTCAAGTTACTTTAGTGTTGATTCAATTCAGTTCGATAACTGTAAAGTTCATCAATTATGAAACGAGTTTAATTCAGCTATAAGCAGTTCTACAGAAGACAATGATCTTGTTATTCCGCTCAATTCAATAATGTTGCAAAATTCGTGAATTATTAAGTCGAATCAGCTATAAAGCAGCTCTGGTGTCATCATCCAGCTCAATAATCAGTAATATTATCAATTTGACTGCACTGACTAACTTAAACTGAATTAAGTGTCTTGTAAACTACCAATTATGCAAGCCAAAAGCGACAGTGACAAAGAACCCAAACTCCATCAGGTGACTAGTTCCCCTCAAGGCTTTTTTCTCCATATCTCAGTCGCGGGAATACACTGCTCGACCTGGATGTCTTTGATTCACTAAAAAGAACAGGGAAATCCGTGTTTTTGCCTAGCCCTACAATACAGTATAGAGTGATCTACTTTTTTCCCCTTTTTCATGTAAATAACTCTGTGTTAACTCTTCTGTCTCAAACAGGCAAATCAGATCTGTTACTCGGTGCTCTGCCTCTTCTCCTACATGGCGGCGGTCAAAGGGAAAGAGTCAGAGGGCAAGCCCAAGATGCTGTCCCCTCGTCCACTACCGAGCTAGCACATTTCTCTCCTACGTTTACTTCAGCCCGCTCCTGAACTCCTGCAATACTCCTGTTCAATACTCTTGCCAAGCTCCTTTAAGGACCTCTGCTCCTGTACCAATTCACATCTAGATGTATTCACATATTCAACACATTTGTCCTAAAAGAAACGTCTCATTCATATAATAGATATTATCACGTACCCGATATAGTATTCCAGTCCGACACTAAAATGCTGGCGTTTCATTCTCATAGTATGGACCAACCAGAACAAGAATAGACTTTGAATACTATTGGTTGGCGCCCTCCCATTTCTACAGTTTTATTTATTGCAATCGGAGGCATTTGGTTGAATGCACATCCCATGCGCAGCTCTTGCGAGTTGGCACTGGCATGCAGAGATCAGGCTCTTCAACCACCTCTGATATCAGTCAACAGGCTGTGTATTTAATATTTATGTGCAAAGTTGTACTGTAAATTCCAGTCCGTTCTGTCTGTTGTGGGTGAAATGTTCAAGTCTTTCCAATCTTGCGCTGCCACGTATGAGGGGTTTGCCTTAACCCTCCGTCCCATTCCTAAATGTTCGTTTCGCCCTCCCTTAACTGCTATAAGTGTATCTCTTTAGCTCTTGCCACGTGAGGCTCAAACTACTGTGCTATTTCTGCTGTAAAGTTCCCTGTGTGTGAACTGCTGTGTTAAAATGCATGTCACTTGAAAATAATGAATATTTAAAAAAGGAAGAAATCTGTACATCCCTGAAGCAATGCTGAAAAAGCAACGGAAATGTTTATGAAAAACTGTAGTTTGTTTTCTAGATGTGCAATACTATCACTAGTGCGTACCAAGAACAAGTCCAGTCACGTCCTTATAGAGTTCATCCACTGTCCTCCAGTGTTCATAATGAGGTGACAGGCATCGCTTCTATGTTTTCTGTTTGTTTGTTGGCGTTTTTTGACAGCAATGAAAATGGCATTATTGATCTAGAAGACAGCTACATTTGGAGATTGTTTGAAAAATGATGGAAAAGTCTTGTCCAAAATGTCCTGTTTGACGTGTCCTCTTTCTGCTTGTGTGTGTTTGTGTTAGAAACACAGATGACAAAGAGAATTTGTCTGTTCTTAGAGGTGCAAATTTTCTCTGATCATCTCTTCTTGACTACTAGATTGGGCAGTACAGCTGTCACATTCACATATTTTAAAAATCTTTTATGTTTTTAATCATTTACATGTATGAATGTGCACACAAAAAAAAACTGTTGTTTTGCGACTCCATTCAATTCCGTTGTTGTATGCAGACTGTAAATGGAATTGAGAAGCCCACTCATTAATGATTTAGAGATGTAAATAGCACAAAACTGATTTCCCAGAGTCCAAGTCTCCCAAAACAGATGTTTTGAGGTGGACAGTGTATCAGGTCTGTTGTTTGAAAGTGTGAGTGAGAGATACAGTTGCACATTATTTGGGCTTTCATTTTAGTCTGTATTTGTTTAGAACCAGAGGGAAAGGAGAGAATGGAGACATGGATGTAAATATTTCAGCATTTAAAAATATTTATAGAACCTGTACAGCTTTCGCAATATGAAAATAAAAGATGTCCAACCCAAATCTGTGACTGAAAGTAATTTGAATTACAGTTATTATACAAGCTATCAACAGCATCACATACTCATTTTTTTATTTATTTTTTATTAATGGATATTTGCCTCCTAGAATTGATTTTCAGGAGCATTTAAATTTCTATTCATGTCAAATCCTTCAATTGATTAACTAGAAAATCAACATCAAAATACAAATGTAATGTTATAAATAAATACTGATAGAATCATAATTGAATCACTGTTTTACATTTTGGAGTTCAGTTTCAACCGTTTTCTTTTTTCATCAAAAACCTCTTCATTAGCAACCTTCAAAAACTGACCTCTGATATGATCAGAAGATTTATAGCCACAGTATTTGTATAAGTACGTGAATGACAGAAATATGTCTGGGTATATTATAAATGTCTTTTATTGTCATTTTGGAAAAAATTATAATAAAGAGTTGCCAACACATTACAAGTAACACTTCAGCTCCAACGTTTTTATAAACTAATAGCTGCATGAGTTATATTTGCATTGTTGCTGCATTTATACAAATTGGCCAGTTTTCTTTAAAAACGTCATATTTGAGGCTTTTCAAGTATCAAATAGCTTAATGTCTACTGCACATGGTAATCAGTATACACAAGTACTGATCATAATTTAATGAACTATTCAATGTCCATATATCAAAACAGAGATACTTTGTTTTAGACATCAGCTTATAAATATTTTTGTGCCACTTGAAAACATTTTTCTCTACAAAGGTCAATGGCCCATCATTGTCCAAACTACAATTTACAATACAATACAAGAAAAGAAAAATTAAATGGTTCGTTTAATCTACAGTAAAATTAAGTGCAAAACAAGCAGAATATAAACAATATTGGTAAAAATCGATGTATATTAAAATGACTGCATTTAAACAGTACCATAAATCATGATGGCATGATAGTCTTAGAACAATATTTATGTGGAGAAAAGGGAAAAGTACTGACCGTTAGAACAGTAAGACATAATCAGAGATTGGATAAAACTTTCTTTTTTTAGCTGTTGACACAAAGTGTGCCATCTCGTACTTAGAGTTGTCACTTTTTATAGCATGGACCATATGAATGACAAAAACATTGGTGGATTAGAATAAAGCCACCTATCGGTTTAATCTAATACGATACTTCAGGCAGTTGTCCACACAGAAGCGAAATATTTAGTTCTTAACAAAATTTCACTGACTCTTGTGATCATTAATTTAATAAGATTCTTAATAAGACCTCTGGAAAAATTTGTCCCTTATCAAAGAAATTACAAGTCAAGCCAAAAAAAAAAGAAAAAAAAATGACTGCTTTCCAAGTACTATAAGTGCAAGAAAGTGCTGGAGACTCAAAGAGCCCCTCAGTAAAAGGCCACAATATTACCTACAGAAGGCCAAATATCTACTTGGCAAAACTTAAAAAGTTTTGGATCCTAGGGATATTTTCTGTTGGGCATTTAAGGCTTTCTTGAGTTGTTTTTAAAGTCACTAATGACGCAACACTAATGACTGCAGTGTGGAGGATGAAGAAGAGATGTCTAGCTGTCTCCACGGACAGTCTTCCGGAGGACCCTGAGACGGGACATGACCTCATCCCAGTCCAGATATGCTCCTTCTAGATGTCTTGAGTTCTGACCTCGTGACAGGTAGCTCTTTCGGCCATGCAGCAGACGCCAGTTATCAAAGGTCACCAAGTCACCTGCGCAGAGATCAAATGAACAACCAGCATCAGTCCCTTATTTAGACGTGCAAAAAATGTTTCAATTCTAATGTTGTCATATTTGGTTTAGCAACAAGTATAGCGGCAATGGGGAAGCTTTAAGGATTCGAAGTACTTCAAATTTGGAATCCTTTCTAGTAAATGTTTTTGAAAACATTGGCATTGGATTTTAAATGGAAAAGTTTGCCAAGCACAGACTGAGCCTATTCCCAAACTCAAAAGCCTTCTAAAGTAGAGGAAACCTTCATCTTTGTCTACTGTCAACTATAGTACAAATGTGAGTTAAAAGCATCTTAATCTGAAATAGGTAAACGGACGTACTGACCTGGTTCCATTCTGTATGTGAACACGTTCTCAGGCCTGCTGAGCAGCTCCACAAAGGCCTTTAGAGACGAGTAGAAAAGCTGAACCTGACGCAGAGGCAGATCCAGCACAGAGTCTCGTGTGGCGTTGTTATAGTTGATCCTCACAACCCGACCATCAGAGTCCACACTGCGCATTACAGACATTTTTGTATTAAAAACTATCAGGATTTATAAGAAATCAACCAGTACAATTCTGTGTTACACTGTAGCAAGCACCTCATACAGGTGTGGATCAACATTAGGATGAAAAATAGGACGATTTTTTTAAATGGACTATCCCTTTAAACATTCATTTGTAGAAATTTCGCTCTTGCGAGTCTCAGTTGCACAACTGACCATGAGATGGTGCCGTTTAGTATATTATTGACGTATAGTCAATGATGATGATGATTACAAGTGGCAAAGCTAATCCATTGCATTATTATGCGAGTGAGTATGTATGCGTCACAGTCTGTCTTACTCTATAATGTGGTTTTTTGGACTGCACGCTGAAGTCACAGTAGTCAGATCCGCTGTCTGTGAAATCGACCCTGAGAGAGGAGAGGATGTTAAACGCTTCAGGATCTTCTCTCCGGAGCTGCTCCGCCATGTGAAACCCATCAACCACTTCACTCTCACCACCCTGTTCAGCCTGACAGACGCAATGCAGGAACTGCACCTACACACACACACACACACACGTATATAAATATATTATATATATAAAAACACACACATACTCACATAGGGTGAAGTCAGCAAAAGTGGGACATCAGCTAAAATGGGACAAATAAGCTCTTTGGTGTAGTTCTTAAAAAAAAGAAAGAAAACAAGCGTGATAATGCTGGGTGGTCTTGAAATGTCAACAGTACTTAATTTAAAAATCTACATTTGATTGGTCAAATATAAACCATACGGCATGCGGGTGTGGTTCCTACTCAAGTGCTGAAATGTCTGAGAAAGCACATGTTAAGTACCCATACATAGTTTAAGTCTAATAAAATTGTTAAGGTTTCATTTCTAATGCAAACAGTATTTCAATATACAATATACATTTTTATTACATCTGTTCATGTGATAATTAAATTTTATGCAATGATTATATATATTTTTTTAAATATCAAGTTTTGTTACTGTCCCAATTTACCTTAACGTGTTAGATAAAATGGGACAGTAGCATTCAGCTAAAGTGGGACATCCTATAAAAGAATTTTTTTTTTTTTTTTTTACAGAAAATGTCATAAAGTTATAGGCAGAAAGGAAAAAATGAGGGAAAAAACATGTCAGCTAAACAGGAGAGGTATCAGTGGAGTGAAGAAAGAATGAAAGGGACGAACAATGAGTAGCTACATAAGATTGGAGGCAGGCCAGGAACCTAAATTTCTTTTTTATTTGGCTAGGGCATGGTGTGTTCCAAAATCCGCCCTTGAGAAAAGAGTGAAAGGTGTTGTGAGTGGATGTAGTCATGCCACTGGCAGAAAACGTATTTTGTCAGAGTCGTCTGAGAAGGAACTAGCAAACATCTTAAAGCTTCTTTTGCAAAGATGTGCAAAAAAAAGAAAAGCTTTTAAATATGCAAAAGCTAATGGAATTAAATGGTTTTGTGAACACAACAACAAAGCAGGTTATTACTGGTTCCAAGACATTTTAAAAAAGGAACCAAGAGTTGTGGATGACAACATCATCATCATCCTCATCAACACAATCAGCTAGTGTGTATGTTTTAATGATGTTATTCTTTTACATTTTGAAAAAATTATTTTTCTTTTTCTTACCAATTGCATTGTCCCAATTTACAAGAAAATGGCTGTAGAATAAAAATGGGTTCTTATGTTTGAATCTCTGTATATATATATATATATATATATATATATATATATATATATATTTAAAGAAAAAAACATAATCCTTCAAAAAAACAGTTGGAGATACAAGAGACATTGAGCATTTGTTTAAAACATTAATAGTGTAGGTAGAATACTTTATTTGTATTTAATACAGTTTACCAAAAAAGTGTCCCAATTTTATATATATATATATATATATATATATATATATATATATATATATATATACACACCCACACATACGTGTGTGTGTGTGTGTGTGTGTGTGTGTGTACTCACCCCAGGTGGATGGTGCAGAGCAGGGTAATCTGTGTGCAGGCTCAGCTCTCCAGAAGTGTACGCAACATTGTTAGCCTTGGGCTTGTCCTGCACTTGCCACGTGTGTCTGTGAAAGCACAGGGGGGACAGTGGATCAGAACAGGTGACTATGGCCTTGTAAAGTTTTACTGCATCTCTCTGTGTATTTATTGTAGGAAACCACAGCTGTAAAATGCTTTCTTAATTTAGTACCATCTTGAGAGTACATTTAAAGGACAAAGGAATCACTGCAATGAACAAAGCAGACACTTTTGTTATGGCAACACTGCGAGAACTTAGTGATTTTTTTGGTGGTGAATTCTTGATGAACCTGCTCACTGCAAAAAAAAAAAAAAAAAAGAATAAATAAGTCAAATAAATGTAACAATTTATTGAATCAGTATCTGTTTTTTAATAAACATATATTTACTTACAGAAGCAAAACTGTGTTAAGATAATAAAACTTGTTTTCATAAAATAAATCTAATATTTATATATATTATTTTTCCTATTTTCCCCAATGACAAGTTTTTTTCTTGTTTTAAGCCTAAATTGTTAGATTTATGCTTTAAAAAGTTCAATGAGGTATGAAAAATTAACTTTTTATATTCTATACCCAGATGATGCACTTATTTAACTGAAAAGTTTAATAAAAAAAATGAAGTGTGGAATGTGGGACACTTCATTAACTCAACTGTTTCAGCTTTAATTATGTAGCAGAAAGGGAGGGGTTATCAGACTGTGAAGCTGGATGACAAAATAACCTTAGAAGTGCAGTATACTGTAAGTGCATAGTATATAGTTTTTGGCTACATTTGGCTAACTCTGTCACATTTTACATATTATGTATAATTAAATGTGTATTGTCCCTGATTAAATAATCAAATAAAAATAAATAGTGTGCCATATGAAACACAACACAAGTCTTACACAATTTTGCTTCTCCTCTTTTTACTGGAAAACAGTACTTTACTGCAGTTTAAGTATCTGTAGTACTTAAATAATAAAAAAGCAAATTTAGATTATGAAATGATGTTACAGTAGTTATTGTATCAAGTTTGCTTATCCAGAGCTAGCTGAACTAACAGAATGATTCAGTTCCTAATGAGACACTATTTGAAATTCGACTGTTTGACTCTTTGCCCAAAAAAGGCAGGTTTGTTAGCACAAACCTATAGAGAAATATAGGACCTACATAAAAGATCAATTTCCTCCTGTTATCAAACTGAAAACAACAGAAAGGAACGGGAATCATGGAAGAGGGATACAGTAGTGTGGCTTTTTTAAACTGAAATGAGGCAGATTAGTGGTCTCAATAAGATAGTTAAGACTGTATTAGACCAGAATCCTCCATGTGAGACACACCATGGTCTCCTCTTTCAACCAGAAGATCCCTAGCCAATGAAGTCTTGATTTGGCAGATGCAATGCTTTTTGTTCCAGTCTGGGTCAGGTGAAGCTGATTTTTGGCCAGTTTGACTGAGCTCCTGGGACTATCATGGTGTTAAATCACTTAGCCTGTCACTTAGCAGGTGTCAGCTGAGAGGGAGCTCACATGCAGGACTTTGTGCTTACAGCCAGAAGCTCACGGTGTGTCTGTGTCTGTTCTCTCTAGATCCTCTGTCTGTCTGTCCCAGGCTGTGATTTCCATACACTCATCCTTCCCTGAAAATTGTTTTTCTCTGCAAGTTCTAATGAAAGGCTTTGTTGTCTGGCAAGAAAAATAAATCAGAATTGTATTGGTTTAAAATGGTTTGACTTTAGATTTACTGGAAGGTGATAAGTGAGCCCAGAGCAAATGGAACAAGTTTAACTGACTGTAAAGCAAGGCACTTTCACATCACCTCTCATTTAGATGCTCTCAGAGGCAGTTTTCTGAAAACGGAATATTGTTCTGATTGTTGGCCAAGAGTTACAGGACAAAATGCTTTCATCAAATGATGGTAGACAGATGACTCATACCGTGATATCATATCCATGGTAATCTTTTTTACAGAACAGCCTTATGGACCGGCTCTATGGTTGCATTACCAATTTGACACACTACTTCACTCCCAGGTCAAAAGCCAAGATGTGTGTGGCAGAAGTAGACATATTTGACCTTTATCTGTAGTCTAGTTTAAGTCATATCAACCATTTATTTAATAGTTTAATACATTTTAGCCTTACCTTTAAAATAGCTTTTAGTCTTTCTTAAAATGCTGTAAAAGTTTTGGTGTTCAAGAAAGCTATGTATAGTTTAGGGTCAGTAAGATTTTTTTTAAATAAATTAATATTTTTATTCAACAAGGATGCATTAAGTTGATCAAAAGTGATAGTAAAGACATTTAGTATTAGAAAAGATACTTTTTCAAATAAATGATTTCTGAAATTTTCTGTTCATCAAGAATTATGAAAGCATCATGGTTTCCACAAAAATATTTAGCAGCACAAACGTTTTCAACATTGATAATAATTTCATTCTTGAGCACCAAATCAGCATATTAGAATGATTTCTGAAGGGTCATGTGACAGCTTTACCATCACAGGATTAAATTACATTTCAATATATGTTATATTAAAATAGAAAATTATTATTTTACATTGTAATTATATTTTAATAATCATTTCATTTCCACAAACTACCAGCCCCCAAAACACCAGGGCTCCATCCGAAATCGCATACTTCCCTATAAAACAGAAATCTGAAAAACAGTATGTGACAAAATATGTCCGAATTTACAATACTTATACAGTAAAAGAGTAGGCAAAAAGTACCTGGATGACGATGACTACATTTGGCAAGATTCTGAAGTGTGCATTTGATGGACACTTTACTATCCCATGAGGCCACGGGAGAGGATTTGTGAATGACAGTGAAGCGAATGGCGAAGCTGGCGAATGTAACACGTCTAGATTACGTTTAAACTATATAGAACGTACTTTTTTTAGCAGTCGTGAAATTATTACTTATTCAAAATAAGTAATAGAGTATCTGATTTGGGACGCAGCCCAGTTCCTTTAAATGGCCTTGTATTCCTTGCCGTTGGAAATAATCCTCAGACCTGAAGAGATGGGTGCCCATACCACTACAGACCCCCTACCACGTTTTCAACAGACATTGTGGGTTGAGGGACTTTTTCATTTCCTTCAATTATAAAACTGTCCAGATGTAAACCATTAAGGTGAAAGATCAGACCACATTACTTATACCATACACCATATTCCGTTTTCCATGACTGATGGGTTTGTGCCCTTTGCAGCAGGTTATTTGTCTTTCTTTGTAGATCTTGGAGTGAGAATGACAGTTCTGGCATAATGGGCAGTTTTGCCCAGTTTTTGGTGTAAACACAGTCACAGATGTTCAAAATCAGTTTAACAATTTCTGAAATGGTACTGTACTGCCTGCGACCACTGTTTGGAATACGCATAATTATTTTTCATATAGTTTCCAGTGACAGATTACATACATTTTGCACTATACAAATAGGCAGTCAAAGAACCACCAAGATGTTGTTGTTGTTGTTGTTGTTTTTTGTGTGTGTGGGGGTGGGGGGGGGGGGGGGGGGGGGGGATTGGGCCCTCATTAAATCATGGAATAATTAAAAATAATTAAAATTTAAATAGGCCTATTTGTGGTGGAAAAAATATGTAATATTTGAGTTACATAAAAGCTTTTTATTAGTTTTCTCCCTAATTGTCCTTGAAATAGTGGTCAAGAACCCCCCACCCCCAACACAAACATGGTTTGGCCACTGCAAAATTACAAAGACTACAAACTCAAAAGGGGGGGCCCATCTAAGATTATCTCGTCCCGGGCCCAGGCAAGACTGTCAGCTGGCCTGCCTATTACTATAATATTTATCTAAAAAGTCTGCACTGTATTTGCAACTTCTGTTTGTGTCTTTGCTCAATAATCCAATTGTTAAATCAATCTAAATATAGACATTGCACTGCTTTCATTAGAGAACAGCCAAAGCTACAGACCATACCCGTAAAAGGTGAGGCGTAGATAGCCGATTCTCTGGCTCAGTCTGGCCACCTGGCCCTTCTCCACTGGAGCCCCCCTCAGGTAGACGATGCCAACGCGTCGCAGAGCCTCTAGCCAGGCCAGAGCAGCCTTGTCATCATGTAGAACCTCCTGGAAGTCTGCTGTGGGGATCTGCAGACCAGAATCCCAATACTCACGCTCTGAAACACATACATCACAACGCAATTACACAACTTAGCGTCTAGAATGACCCTTTCATTTACTTTCATTTAATTCAACATTCTGTCATGGAAACCAGCCTCTTAGACTGAACTAGTTGAAAGTTTTCCACTCCTGGAAAACCAAGGTCCTGAACTACAATCATTACACCATAACAAGGATTCCCAAACTTTTTTTTTTTTTTGTCAGCCAAGCCCATTAACTAAAATGTTTAAAACGGAGAAGATAAATTTCAATAATGTAAAAACACAATTGCATGATCAAAGTTTTCTGAAGTCGGTTAATAGTCACATGACATGCAGGTAAATAAATATATACATAAAATGTATTTTTTATTTTCATAATTTTATATTTCTATGATTTGATTAATAATTTGCTTTTCATCAACTCACAAACCTCCTACAGTTCCCCCACGAATCTCCATTTGGGAAATTCTGCATTGGAAGGTCCAGTGGCAAATTACAGAGCAGTCAACAATGACTCAAGTCTACATTAGTATGAGGGAATGATGTCAGCATTACTCAAAGTAGCTAAAATCTTTTCCAAGCTAAACATGTTTCTTTATCTTTCCCATCTCTGTTACTCGTTCTCCAAGCACCCTGATTTACAATGCAAATAAACACAAGATAGAAACTTCACACTTACTGTACAACCATCACTAGTGTCTTTCTTCACATAATGAAGGATTGTGAGTGTGTGTGTGCGTGTCAGGGTTGAGGCCAGAACACATTGGTCAGAACACTGTGTGAGGGCCTGCATGTTTGACTGTGAAGGAATACTGCTGGAAAACTCTGGTTCTTAAGTCTACTTCCACAGACGGCCTCTAGAGAAGTGTGCATGTGTGAGCATTGCAAGCACATTATGCCTGTAATTCACTGCTTGGACCTTTATGCAGTGGAAGTATTTTTCAGCCCTGCACCTCCTTTTCAGATTCTCCCAATTTACAAAACTGTTCCACTGGATACATTGTCACAGTAGAGACTTCAGAGACAATATAGTTCAGGACCAACAACTAAAAGATAAGAACTTCCCACCAATTAAGTAATTTTCCCCAATTTAAGAAGTCACATTCAAAAGTTTGGGGTCAGTACGATTTAAAAAAAAGGAAAAAAAAATACATTTGTTTGGCAAAAATGCATTAAATTGATTAGTAACATGGAAATCTCATCGTAAATGTCTTTCATTTGAAATCAATACTGTTTGAACAATTTGAATTTCTATTCATCAACTTATATAAGGCTCTAATATTAAGGCCCTGGAATGAGTTTGATAGAGAGAGAGAGAGAGAGAGAGAGAGAGAGAGAGAGAGAGAGAGAGAGAGAGAGAGAGAGAGAGAGAGAGAGAGAGAGAGAGAGAGAGAGAGAGAGAGAGAGAGAGAGAGAGAGAGAGAGAGAGAGAGAGAGAGAGAGAGAGAGAGAGAGAGAGAGAGAGAGAGAGCTGGGCACTGGGCCCAGGGTGAAGTGGTTCAGTTGGTCCAGGTCAGTAATGTTCAGCGCTTATAAGCGTGTAATGCTCAATAATCTCTGACATACTATGGTTTCCTGGCAGGGCTGATGTCGACTTCAGAGCCAGCCGAGATTAATATCATGTTATCATTCTGTCCAGCTGGTGCCTCTGAGACACTTTCATAAAAATTGACATTATTTTTCAATGACCCTTTCAGTCACTAAAACAGACGGAAACACATTTATGCACACAAAGGCAAGCAGGAAAAGAAAGGTGTCAGCTTATGTGTGTCTGAACAGTTTCCATCAGCATTGCCTCTGTGAGTTTTCCAGCTGGTAATGTGAAGTTGTGGCTGCTGCTGGCAGACCGTTATGTCCAGTCAAACTCTGTCAACAGAGTCCCTACTGAGAGCTCAGCACAGAGCAGAGTTCACTAAGAACAGGACAGACAGAAGCTCACAACCAGAGTACAAACCACTTACAGCAATCATTTTCAAACAGGGTTTGGAAAATAGATTTATATGATTTGAATAGCTCAAATTACATATGCGCAGCATCCTATGCGCTTCAGTTCCTATGCGCTTCTCAAATAAATTAAGTAAGACACCCCATTTAAGTCAAGCGATTAGTTTTCCATAAACCATTTGGAAAATAAGGTTTTAAACTACTTCAACTGTTCTGCAAGTCATCTTAATCTTTGGTCTGTATCAGTGTGGTCTTTTTCTGTGTGGGACGGGTGAGCTGTTTTTCATCTAATGCAGCAATGTGATGGTTTGGCTATATTGAATTTAGATGAGAACAATGTGGTCTTGGTGCTCTGAAGGATCATGATGTCATGGCATGCATGATGTCATCTGAACCAGGACATGTTGTAACCGCAATAAAGCACACTTGTGCCCTCTTGTAAATGGGACACTAAACATCAACACTAGAAAACTCCTCTTTAAGTAATTCAGTTCACTGGGGCATAAAAATCCTACTGTGAGCTGTATACTTTCAAGAAAAAGAAAAAAAGAAAATGGTTAAAAGCTAGAAACAATAATCGAAAGGCTTTATCATAATGACATTATTAATGAGCCTAATTACCTATTCTCTCCAACCTCTTATGGTATATAATGTATATACAACCTTAAGCATAAGAGACTTCTTTCAAAAACCATCATAAAATCTGACCCCAAATATATACATTATTTTCATCTAAAATAGCTGTTTTCCATTTGAATATTTTAAAATGTAATTTCCCTGTGATGGCAAAGCTGAATTTTCAGCATCATTATTCCAGTCTTCAGTGTCACATGATCCTTCTAAAAATCATTCTAATATGCTGATTTCATGCTCAAGAAACAAGATATCAATATTGAAAACAATTGTGCTCCTTAATATTTTAGTGAATTATAAAAATATAAAGAAAAATCTAATTTTCTTTAAAAAAAAAATCGTTTAAACAGTAGTGTATGGATAAAGTAAAGAGAGAGAGAGAGAGGAAGAGGGAGAGAGAGAGAGAGAGAGAGATAGTTGTCTACAACTGGTGCTAACCAGTCAGGAAATGGCTAATGCCAGATTACTGCCCGAGACAGATATATTACAGCAAGGTGTGTGCTTGACAGGCCTCTTTTTTAGGGAGATTGAAGCAAGTTTATATGGGAGGTATTAAAACAAGTGGCAGAACCGTCATATTATGTGCCAGTTAAGGAGCTTTGTTAAACACATGCAAACCTTGTGTGTTTTACAGTGTACACCGCAGCTAGAAGCAGACACTTGTGATGTGTAGTCTATGCTTTAAACCGTGGAAATGTATTGGTTGTCTTTCACTGTTTTAGGGGGCACGAGGGGATGCCTTTTGTGCCTTTAAACTAAACAGCAGCATAATTTCCTAAACTTTAGAGAGAAAATCACAAGGTTGAAAACAACAGTAAGATCTGTAAAACTAAAGAACATTTGTGGTGAGTAGAATCAGTTTCAAAGCCCTAATGTATTCATTTGGAAAATCTAATCTTAAAATCTCAAGACATGCAAATATGTGCAGGATGCTTGTTCTGGCAGACACATTGCTCAGGCTGCGTCAACCATAGCATCCATCAAGAGCGGTGTAGAAGCACAACAGCTCACTCTTCTCAAATGGCCTTAAATCTCTATTCCATGTGGCAGGAAGTGGAAAAAGTCTTTCCACTCAGGGGTGATTCTGGAGAGACATGTCTGCACACTACAAAAGTAACTGCGGTCCAGACCACACATGCCACAGATTAATTCAAATAATGCACAATTATTAGCCTACATGAGTGCATTTCAACTTTATATGAAGCTATCCTAAAAAATGTTGTCTAAATCAAAAACAAGAAAATGAAACTGAAAGCATTAAGCAAATTTGTTATTTCAATTCAAAGTGTGCCTTAATAGGATGTCAACAGATACCGTATACAGGCCCAATTCACCTCACACAAGAAGTATGTAAATGAATCGAGAGCATAACTATAACAGCAGGCTGACAGCATTTCAGCTGCAGAAAAAAAAGTCTACAGGTTGCTATATAAAATACTTCCCTTATGTATGTATGCATGCATGGATGTTTGTATGTATGTATGCATCTGTGTGTGTGTGTGTGTGTGTGTGTGTGTGTGTGTGTGTGTGTGTGTGTGTGTGTGTGTGTGTGTGTGTGTGTGTGTGTGTGTGTGTGTGTGTGTGTGTGTGTGTGTGTGTGTGTGTGTGTGTTTTTACATGTATGCGTATCCATATTTATATTATTTGTTGCTATTGTATTCCTGAGCAAGTTTCTATATTTCTGTTTATACTTTTATGAGTATTTGTACCTGTATCTTGTTTTTTATATTTTTAATTTAATATTTTTTTAATGTACTTTCTGCATTAATTCAATCCTAGTATTGCTAATCAGAAAAGTAAATAAACTTCAATCTGGTATATGAAAAAATAATAATGGCCATGCATTATAAACCATAGAAAGATTAGAGATGTATATACTGTATGTGAATGGAGATGGCTAATACAAAGATTAAGGTAACAAAGACAAATAGATAATGATGAACTCACCATTAAGGAAGAGCTCCTCTTGCAGAGCCTGTCTTGCATCAGAGGAAAAACACCGTTTCTTCAGCCAGTCAGGATCAAACTCACTACTGTGCTGATCAGGCCAAGTTATGGACACCTACAATGAGTTTCATAAAAACAGGTTTAAGGACTATTGGACTATGACTCATATTTAAACTTGGTTGAAAAGACCAGCATATGTAAAAATAAAGGTTCCATAAGGGTTTTTTCACAGGTATGCCATAGAAGAACCATTTTGGGTTCCTCAAAGAACCTTTCAGTGATCAGTTCTTAAAAGAACCATTTTTTCTTAGTGTAAAATAACCTCTTTTTTTTACTATAAAGAGCTATTTGGGCAACGTTCTCATTTACTCACACTCATTTCGTTTCATACTTAAATGAATATCAAGCTTCAAAAATGACATAAAAGCACTTGAAAAACCTGGAAAACAGCACAAATAAGGACTACCTTTATTTTATGCTTATGGAATGCAGCAGCTTTAGTCCCCATCTACTTTCATTATATTCAAAAGAGCAGTGTGGAAATTCTGCACAACATCCTTTTACAGAACATTCAGCAGAACATCTTCATTCCCATTTGAAATGACAAACTAAATGATAACAAATTTCTATTTAGGATGAATTATTGTCTTTAATAACTTTTCTGGGCCGGCAAGTTTCAATCCCATAGAAGCCTATGAAGGAGTGAGACAGCTCTCATATTTCATCAAAAATGATCTTAATTTGTGTTCCGAAGATAAAGGAAAGTCTTACGGGGTTGGAACAACATGAGGTGAGTAATTACTGACAGAATTTTCATTTTTGGGTGAACTAACCCTTTAAGCTTTGCTCACCAAGACCAACCTTATTGTCCATCAGCTGTACTTGGTCCATTCCGGTGTGCACGTCCAGATCTGACATCAGCAGCCTGCGTGCTTGCGCTGACTGCAGCGTGCAGAGAGGACACTGGCAGTTATCCCTCAGCCAGGTGAACGGATACAAACTACAACTCCCATCATCCCAATCAATCTGGAGTATTCTCTCCTGATCCAGTGCCCGGGCCTGCCTCACTCCGAGACTCCCCCCAGTTAAGGGCAGAGGAGCCGCTGCCAGTGTCTGATTCCCAATATGAGGCGTCTTGATCAGTTGAGGACGACTGTGTGTCCCTTTAAGAGCCTGGAAAGCGCTTCTGGACACCCAGCGGGTAAGAGAGGACAACATCCTGATCCGTGAGTTGCTGCTGCTAGTCTGAGGACGCAGAAAGTATGAGGTTATTGTGTTCATAAAACATCCACACCCCTTCACAATCCTCTTGTACCCAATAATGATTCACCACAGCAGAATGTACTGTTGTAAACAATGAATATGATTGATGCACAGGTGTGTCAAAGGTGTCTTAAGAATCATATTTTGAAAGCAGTCTCTGAAGTTCATCAAGGCTACATTTATCTGATACAAATATACAACGGCAATTATGTAAAAAATTATTTTGTTGTAACATTATAAATGTCTTACTTTCACTTTTGATCATTTTAATACATCCTTGTTAAATAAAAGTATTAATTTCTTAAAAGTAAACATCTTACTGGCCCAAAACATATGAACAGTAAACTACCAATATGTAAAGCACTTTGGTGGCCATTGGGTCTGTGAAAGTGCTATATAAATGCAGTCCATTTACCATTTAAATAGAAAAATAAATGTAAACAGAAGCCAGGTGACTGGCAGTTTATTGTGCTGTTGGTCTGACTCTCCAAAAGCTGAGCCAGCTCTTGATGAATGATTACTGCAATTACATCATCCAGATCTGACTTATCTGAATGGCTTGTCAGGGCGCTTATCTTTGACAAACACAAAAAGAAACATCAAAGAAACCAAGATTAAAGGGAGCTAAGGTGACTTGATGACGACCTAAGGTGACTTAATGACTTTAGCACTGCCAGACTAATCAAATTATGACTTACTGAACTCTGGACTTCACCTTTACTTGCACTAGTAAGAAGAATTTGACTCTTTCATGTGGACCACTTCAAAGAAACTCTCAAGGCTACCTTTGTGCTGCCCCAAACAATAATATAAACAATAAATAGTTTTATGTCAATTTAGAATGTCAAATTATGAGTGTTGTAAATCCATTAATCCAAAATTATTTTATTCTGTTGACAGCTGTAGTTTCCTTTGAGATTTATACACCTAACATTACATTATTCTAATAATGTATAATAATACACAGTCATTTTAATATAAAGTAAGTATTTTTGGCTTTACAAATACCATGTTATCTTTATAATATAACGCTTACCATTTTCCTCACACATTACGAATGGGATTTTATACATGAAAATACATAGACCTATAGGCAGCTATCAGGTAGCAATGCAAAAATCACATTTGTGGGTCCATGATAAAATAAATATAATAAACAATATGTTCAGTGTATCGTAAACAGATCTTTGAGCATTGGTTATGTAATGTGCAAGCACCTTAGCTCATGTGACCTACATGTCTCAGGGAACACGGAAGTAGGTGAAAGGTCACCACTCCATTCCCCCTGCAAACAAACACATTGCCTCCAGCGTTACGACCGACAGCACGTACACACACACATTATAGTTGCCATGGAACAGAAATCAAACCAACTTCAAAATGTATTGTCTTTATTTAGACTTGATAGCTAAATATGTATCTGCCTTTGTTATTTCCGGGTATTTTAGCACTCATCCTCTTTATAGCGCTCTTTAGTAAATGAACAGTGGAGCAACTGACAAAAGGTCTACCCTACAGGTAATAACTATTCATTCATATTACACGGGCCATTAGGAAGTCACGAGTTTGACGCGTAGCCTAATAAACACAATAACGCTATCGATCTTTCTTTCATTCGTCAAACATGATACACGCGAACTTCCGTTTATTACATAGAATTCATCTACCATATTTCATTTTCGTTATTTAAATTTGATGAGAAATGAGAGAAAAATACAAACAGCATATGGCACTTACCGTGAAGACGTGGGTAATGTATCCGCGGTTATTTCAGCCTTATATAGTGCTGAGAAGCGTGAGAACTCAATGTGCTGGAAGTGGGTGAAGGTTCACATGCACTATAGCCCTGCTGCTGCTGCACACAAACTCACTGGAATCATCATGATGTGTGTGTGCGCTGCACTGGATCTGACTCTTGGCCAAAATTACGTGCGCCTTTCCTCAACAACTGTTCTTTTCAATGCTTGTTTTTGTAACTGCATTTTATTGGATCTGCCATGTGGATTGGGCTATTATACATATTTAAATGGATATTCCACACATTTGTTAACATAAATATAGCCTAGGCCTATATATATTAAACTGCATTATACTAGGCTACAGTAGCCTAAAGTAAGGTTATTTGTAGACCAGCAGTAATGATTTCGTTTTTGATTACACAATAATGTTGAATCAATTTTTAGGTAAAATTTTTTTTAACAAATATAAATCATATCAGAACTTTTGCACCTTTTACAACATCTGCAATGCCTCTGAAAACCAAACTGATAGTCAGAGAAAAAACTGCATAACGTTTTTATATATCCACTGTATAGGCTACACAAGTCACAAACAGACATGCTGTGCAGCAGTGATGCCTGATTAAGGTTAGTACACAACATACCAATCAACAATTTAGAGGGTCTACAAATAGGTCTCTATAGTATTTCTGAATTCATTGACTTTGATTCACACACACACACACGCACACACACACAAATTGAAAGATCACCCACTATAGCAACAGTTTCCAATCTCTGGCTGTCTTGTAATGCATGTTTATGAGGAGAACTCCCATTGTATCTGGAAGGTTGGTGTCCTGCAACAGCTGTTTTAACATTATAAGTGAGACCTGCATGCCTACTACTAATTCCTTAATAGGTCTGCATTAAACGGTGCATTCAAATTCATTTAGCCTATCACAAAGTAGTTTATGGCAAAAAAAATATTGTATTTCTGAATATTGTCTAATTCATCATTCTCAATATAATATTGTCAATTGACAAATTCAAAGTTTTAAGGACTCTGAATAGTGTTGACAACATAAATGTTGGAATTATTTTGAAAAGCTTCAAAGATTTAAAATAAACTCAAAAGCACCTTAAATGTATCATAAATATGGTACACACAAATATAGATTTGCAAACAGACCAAAATTCATAATTCACTGACAATCTCCCTCTCCAGTAAGCCGTTAACTGGATCATTGAGTCATTCTTGAAAACCAGATCAGTCCAATTTGAGAATGAATCATTTTTGTGAATCAGAAAGAAAGATCCGTTCATAAATAATATGAAAGAAGTCATAGATTTGGAACAACATAAAGGTGAGTAGCTGAATTTTCTATGAACAATTTCTTCAAATCTTTTTTGACCTGTTATATTTTTTTAAAACAATGTGTTTCCTAGCATACATACACACACAAACGTTGAAGATTTTTATTACAAAAAGGAATATACACAACATATATCTCAGGAATGGAACTACACGCTTTATGTCCAATATTCCTGCCCGCAGTCATCTTGGTTTGTCTGGAATATGTCATCCCAGATGGTTCTTTTCCCATTACTTCTCAGAGGATTTCAAGAATACTTGATGCAACGCGCATAGTTTCATAAAATGAATACTGTTAAGCTTTTTCATAAATATAAACACTCACAGTTTAATATTTTAAAAGCTTGTTATAAAATATATAGATTTCTTAGGGCACACAAAACAAAACATGTACAAGGAAGAGCAAATGTGTTCCTCCGAATATATCATAGAAAGCAATCATAATAAAATGTATGTTTTTAATATGTTCATGCCATATTTCTTTTGGAGGATTGTCAGACTGAATGTTTTAAAAAACTATTCCATGTACATGCTCTTATAAGAATGTAATGTATTATGACAGCTAACATTTGTACAATGAAAACTATATTCCTTCTGTTTAGCCAACATGAATTTTCTCTGAAACATTCAAGTAATGCCAATGCAAATGAGCAAATGCTTCCTCAAACACAGCCATTATCTGAGAAAATAGTGAAACACTGAATCTAACTCAGTGTTTTGTATGTCTCCTCTTAGAGGTAAAACCTCCATATTGGTTAGACTGAGATTCCAGTCACATTACAATAAGCTGCAAATGTCATTAAAGACTCAATGGCAGTAATATTGCCAAGTTTAAAGCATTTAATGGCTGTCCATCATGTATGATTGCTGCTATTAAGTGACTACTGGCTTTCATTTATTGCAAAATAGCTGCATCATTTTTGCCAAGTATAGCTACAGAGAAAAAAAAACAAATTCCTTAAAAATGAGTAGTAGCCTATATTTTTGATACTAGTACTTATTTTTAGTTACTAATAAATTGTACATCTATTAATTATTTTCTACTCACCATCGTGATAGTGACTATTCTGAATATTTTCATATTTTTCCTCCAGTGAATTCTACAGGGATCTGTGGTTCTGTGGACATCAACTTTTCACTTCTGACTAGTGAGCTCCATTTTTTATTTTTTTTGCTGTTATATAGGCTACTACCTATAGTTTTAATAGTAACTATACCTTTTGTTCTTGTAACTGAAATAGCCTATATTCTAGTTTCATATGCTAATAATTAAATACAAACTGTGACCTATTTATTAGACCAGCGTTTGCTCTGTAACTAGCGAGATTGTAAATATTAGGCTACTTGTAGGCTACTAACAACTGCGTCTCAGAAATAGGTAACGTTATTTGCCGTGAATAATTTACAGTAGGCTACAGTACAAATAAAGCAGGACTATTTCGATAGTTAGCCGTTTGAGACTTTTTAATAACCGATACCTATAATGAATGGTTTCTATGCAAACTAAAAAATATAACAGTTGGTGGGATTAGTAATTTAGCCTACTAAAAATAAGTACAAGTAATACAGTAGCCTAGGCCTACTAGTTAATTTTAAGAAATGAATGTTAAAACGCGCATTGGTTAGAGACAGATTGAGATTTGCCTGCTTACTGAAGGCAGACAAACAGTCCTCTACACCTTCATATAGTCGTTCTTCAGGCGGCTTAACCGGGTCCCGTGACTCCGGATGATGAGTGACAACAGCTCGTGCTTGTCCTTCAGTCCCAGCGAGATGTCCAGTGTCTCCTTCAACACGTCGCGCGTGTGCACGATCATGTTGAGGAAGTCGTCGCTGATCTTGTGCTCCTCTTTCAGCTCGTTTTCCTGACTCTGTTTGAATTTCACCTCCAGCTCCAGCAGAGACTTCTCGGAGTTGGAAAACGCCTCGGTGATCTGGGTCGTCTCCCGTCTCAGATATTTCCCATAGCTGTCTTCTCCGTCCAGGTCGAAGGATATGCTCTTCCCGATGCCCTCGAGCACACGCGCCGCGTCCTCGATGTGCCGCTTGATGATGGTGAAATCGTCCCGAATCACTGAGTCCTGGTCCTCGTCCAGGGTGCATTTGCGATTGTCGGTCATTTTGAACAGCATCTGGCATTTCTCGGGATCGTCGTTATCTTCATAAAAACCGTCCGGCACGAAATAATGATGAAAAGTGCCGTTGGACATCTCCGGGTGGAGGGGTCCCGAAAAGAAAGCTCCTCCGAGACGCAATGAGACCAGGCAGGCTATCAGTATGAACAGAGGGGAAGCCATCCTCAACCACCTCTGCCTTATCACAGTCAATAGTAGCTTACCTTCAGCTCTGCTCTTCAAACTTCACTCAAGCCCCCCTGCTCCAGCCCCACGCATGTCCAGAGCGTGAAATGCCGAGTAATCCCGACACGAAAACAGTTGAATCACACAGAAACGTCCGCACTTTGGGAATGCAACTTTCCAGTGCCCTTTCCTGTGGTCTTTGGCGAAATCAACAGGCGTGAGCCACATAAACCCTCGCCGTGTCCTTCCTTGTGTCTGTTTCAACATCTGGACCGTTCAGACTCTGTGCTGGTTTAGGTAATAATACCCCCGGTCAGACTCTCAAATTACAAGCCCGTCACTCCTTCACTTAAAAGGCAGCACACATTACAGGGGCTGCCATTAAAGGACTGCATTAGTTTTAAAAGCCTACAAAACACACGTTAGAATTAGACTGGAGTCTGGACCAGGTTAAACTCAAATCTAATAAAAATTACAGAATGACACTAGACAATTTATTACCTACATGTATTAAATATATTAAGAGGATGAAGACAAACATTATGGTATTAAAACAACGATGGAAACTTCTTAAAAAAAAAAAAAAAAGGCTAATTTTATTATTACATTATGTATGTAGGCTACTCTCTTGGCTATAAAACAACTGGCTATAATCATTTGCACAGTAATGGAATAGTTTGTCTAGTTTTGTGTGTTCAAAACAAGAGAAAAATCAAGTGCAACATTTATACACTGCCACAAAGATGCTGAAAATAGATTAAATGGAAATCTGATCCTTTGCACTGTAAAAACAAAATCAATCAAGCCAATAAAATATTAAAAACTTACGTTTATTTGCCGAGTTGAAACTCTGGAATCCCATTAAATCTAGAGTCAAGAATAAATACCATTATTATTGTGACAAATGAAATGGATGGAAACAAAGATTTTTTGTGTATATATATATATATATATCTATTTGTATAAATACATTTTCAGTGTGCTTTTATTGGTCACTTGTATAGAAATGCTTATATTTTTCTCTCTTTTGCAATGACACTCTTGTGTCAGTTTAATGCTCAAAATACATGTAATGCCAGAGTGGAAAACCACAAATGGTGCCGTCCTCACTTTAGACAAAAGCAGACACTGCAGATGGCCACTCTGCACGCTTCTCTCTTCAATTTGTCTTGGAGGTGTGTCTGACAGGCCTCTGCAAAGAGGGTGCTTTCTTTATACTGGAGTTCTTAATTCTCAGAGACAGGTCTCAGCTCCATATGCCGATTACCTAAAGAGGATGTCTGAGTGATGACGAAAGGTCGTGACAGAGCGTGAGACCGAGCAGGAGCTGTTCTGCTTCGGCATCAGGATGTGCTACTCGTTCTCTTTCCTGTGAAGGCGCCTGTAGAGAGAGTCAGAGGGTGAACAGCAGTGAGCTCACACTTACTCTGTCCACTTTCATAAAGCCCAAGGCATTAATGAACCACACATTCCATGAAAAACAAACGGCAAACATTTTGTGGAAAAATGGTGATGTCATATCTGATGTATGAAGATGGATTCTCAAAGCCTCGGAAAGCCTCGTTTGCTTGGCCTTGTTGGATTTACAGCCTTCTTTCATCATTTTTACAGACATTGTACAGACACTGCCAGGGTGCTTTGATTTCACCATATGGCTCTTAAGCAAACACATATACCCACAAACTACAGACACACAAGCACTCCAGTCCACCCCACACAACACAAAATTTTCAAGATGCTCACATGTGTTATATTGACAACATTAAATCCCTGGCAAAAGTCTCTCAGTCTGATATTTGTCTGTGAACATGAGGTAATAAGGGAATACCGCACGGATGTGTGCCCTACCATCTCATTGATGCCAAGAAGCAAAGTTCCTGTAGAATATTAGCTCTCTCTCAAACCCCATTAAAAAAAAAAAAAAAAAAATCACCACAGATGCGGAACAGACCAGAACATGAGCTGGGGTGGAGAAAAGTAGGGAGAAAATCAGAGTATGTGTATGTGAGAGAAAGAAAAAGAGTCTTGTTTCCCACTACACTGGAAGTTGTTCCACTAGAATATATTCTTTATAGAGTGCTCTAATTTTATGGTCTTCAGTACTTCTTCTCAGACGCCCTATACCCCTTTGAACCTGGTTCCCCCAATGTTCCTACTACAGATATCCACTACAAGGGGGCCGTCTCTCTCTCTCTCTCTCTCTCTCTCTCTCTCTCTCTCTCTCTCTCTCTCTCTCTCTCTCTCTCTCTCTCTCTCTCTCTCTCTCTCTCTCTCTCTCTCTCACACTCACACTCACACTCACACTCACACTCACACTCACACTCACACTCACACTCACACTCACACACACACACACACACACTCTCTCTCTCCACACGTAGCCCGTCTCTTAAACCCCAGAGGATGGAACAATGCCAGCTCCTGGAGAACTTCCCCCACTTTTGCCCTGCTAATGATCTTAATAACAGGGGTCTATAAGTATTGTTAGCTTCCTGGATTTTCTTCTCATAGTCACTAGTTTTCAAATGTTCAGGTTAAGCTCACATAAAATGATCATACTGCCCAAACTGTGGCTTAGAATTATGCTATGAGTTGCACACCTACACCAGACTTTTCACTTAGAGGATGCTTCATAAATACTTCTGAAGTCATCATGTCGCCCTTGGGCGGGCCTCTTAAGTAAACGTACACGGTTCCTTTGTGGTTAGACTGAATTCATGCCATCAGCTTGGCAAGGATAAAATAGGCACCGACTTAAATGCCATGAACCTTGCATGAACTAGAACTCTGGGCCAGTTCTAATCTTTTTAGGGAAGAATTACGGGAGACCAGTTGTTTCATCATTAATCCATGGTATTTTCCGCTGGGCAATAAGACTCAATTACTGAAGCTTTTGAGCAAGACGCTCATAAAAGATACAGATGCTGGAGGAACACGGCCAGTGGGGCCATGAAACAGAATACACTGGCATCATGTTCTACAGAATATCTGTAGACCTCAGAGAGGACAGGCACACACACACACACAAAGTAGTGCGTGCGTACTTTATACAAAAAAGCAACTTGAAGCAAAAATTCATTTTCTGTCATTTTTACTCACCCTAATGTCATTCCAAACCTGACTTTCATCCTCAAATGGTGAAATTCTAAAGACATTCTGCTATAATTATGATGAATTAGGACCAAATTTTAAGCTTAAAAAAAGAGAACTTAGAGATACCAGAAATATGTCATAAAAGTAGTTCATTTAAATGCTCTGAAATCATACAATATGTGTGTGGAACTGACTGCAACTTAATTTCAGTCAGCTGTGAATTGTTGTGACTGGTTGAATGAGTCAGTAAGTTTAACTCATGAATGAATCTTCCAGACCTGTTTTGTGAACTGTGTTAAGTGATTCATTGAAAAGATCTAACTAAAAAAATGATTTGTTCCTTTTTACAGCTTAAATTTGGGTCTGTTTCTCAAATAACACAGTCTTGTTGCTTTAGAAGACTTGGAACATATGGACAACATTTATAATACTATTTTGAAGCTTACATGCAGTCACTGGGGTGGAAACCCCATTAATGAGGGCCAGATGACAATATGGGATGCCATAAAATTTTAAAAGCAATCACTGTCCCAATCTTAAGCCCTAAATTGAATGCAACAATCAACAGGTGCACTCAAAGACATGGAATACAACTGATAGGTTAGACAAGCATGAAGACTTACAAATCCCTTTTGGTTACAAGCTCCCTGATGTGTCAGATGGCTAATGAAGACTTTGGTCCCTTTGAGTTTTTCCTTTATCACACACACATGTTCCAGGAAATCAGTCCAATGGTGACCTAACGCCAGCCTCTCTGATAGCTGCTCTACTGCCCAGTTCTATAAACCTCTGTATTTACAAGTCCATTAAGTTAAAAAAGCTTCATGACGCAATTCTAGGAGCCGTGTTGATCCCTGGAAGAAAGCATAATTACATAGCCCTGCATTCAAATGAATCAGTGCAAACTAAATAATACACTCAGAGACTACAAACAAACCAGATCCATTTGTAAATAAAAATGTTGTAAGACAACAACCCAGGGACAACTACAAGAACGTTTTAAACGTGAGTTAAAGAATAAGTGCATAAAATGAGCCGAAAGAGACAGAAAACATGCCCTTCTTAGTAGAACTGCAGCAGAAATGAGACATTTGTATCTATAACCTGCCATTATACAGATCTGCCTCAACATACATAAAGGTCCACAGCAATCAGACTGCAGAAGCAGAGGGAGGGATGGAACTTGAGGTAAATCTCCACAGGGAGAACCGAAGGAATTGGAGTTGTTTGTTGAAGAAGTGCTGAAGAGATTTTTCCAGCTGTTTTGTGGTCAACTGCTCCCCTAAAAACCCCTTTATTCATTTGTACATTTTCCATATGGAAATATTCTGAGACTAATGTACAGACACGCACATTACAGTCCTGCATTTAGCCTCGTTCCTCAAGAAAGACAGAATCTGAACTCTAATTGGCCCAATGTTTACCCAGGTATGGTAATCTATAGGTATTAAATGTGCTCAGTGTATGTGAAAGGTCAGATCATAATTTAAATCAGTCCAATAATCAGTGCCAGTTGTACTAGGCACCTCTTTATGCGTAGGGATGCCTCATCTTCTACTCGTCTTTCCTGGCATAACTTCAGAATGACACTCCTCTTCTGTTGTCTACTTAGGGTATCCACATAGCACAAAACAACAGTGGGGGGGGGGGGCATTTTGTCTTCCATTATTAAGAGTCCGAGTGCATCAGTCTCCATTTAAACTATGCCAAAATAATTATGCTATGATTACTCACTGATTAATAATCACAAATGGAAACAAACCTCTGCAGTGAGCAAGAAGGGCCAAACAAGAAATGCATAAACAATAAAATAATGAAATAAACAAATGCCCCCTTTTCCCTGTTGTGTAATTTGGTAAATTCCCAAAGTGCTAGTACATATTAGTGAGATCAAAGGTTGTTTATGTTTAGAAAGAACCACGGACTCTAATGAGCAACACATGTTGAAAGGCTCTACTGGTTCTTTTTTTTCCCCCATTCATTAATCCATGATGATTTATAGGGTTGCTTGTAAGAAGTCATCGAAACTTCCAAAACACATGTATATGGCTCCCTTTGTTTGCTCCTCTCTGCTTGAAATGTCATGCAGAGCATTTGAGACACAAGTATAGGCCCACTTTAAACCCTGAACTTTGAACAGTATTGTATGGTTGTGGTATTGCAGCATGATTTGTTCATCTGAAGGTATATCTGGACATAGTCG